CAGTGAGGAGGTCATACATGAGAACAGTGATGAAATAGTTCATGAGAACAGTGAGGAGGTCGTTCATGAGAACAATGATGAAATAGTTCATGAGAACAGTGAGGAGGTCATACATGAGAACAGTGTTGAAATAGTTCATGAGAACAGTGAGGAGGTCATACACGAGAACAGTGAGGAGGTCGTTCACGATGTCGTTCGTGAAGAAGCCATTGCAACAAAGAATGAGATAAAGGATTTCATAGAACTTAACAAGGAGGAGTTTAAAGAAGGCTATGAAGTGAAAAGATGTGAAGAAGATTTCTTGGCGTATTTGAAGAAAAAGAGACTAAAACCAATGGCTCAAAATAAGTTTCAATCGATGTTTGAAAAGAAACGTTTGAGCTATGGTGGTGTAAGAAGCACATATTACTTTGTTAAGAAGTGAGGACATTTATTTTTGTCGTTAGTGTTGGAGTTTGTGTTTGTTGTTAGTGTTTGTCATTTGTGTTGGAGTTAGTACTTGATGTTAGTGTTGGAGTTTGTGTTTGTTGTTAGTGTTTGTCATTTGTGCTGAGGTTAGTACTTGTCGTTAGTGTTGGAGTTTGTGGTTGTTGTTAGTGAGAGAATAAATTAAATCATGAACTTTGCCATGGTCTCTGTCCCTAGTAGTTTTCATTAAGTTCTGGAAATAATGAAAGTCATAAACTTTGCCATGGTCTCTGTCCCTAGTAGTTTTCATTATCTCACAGAGTTAATGAAAGTCATACTTTCTATCAGATGAAGCATGCAGATGAACATAATGAAAGTTAGTGAGTTTGCCACGAGTTATGAATAAAATATTGGCATATTAGATGAGATAGCTGATGAAACAGATGAAGATAAATTAAATCTTGGACTTTGCCACACTCTGTCCCTAGTTCCTCAAAATCCTTGACAACGTTGCTTAGAAATTTTGGTTCAAAACCTCATCTGATTTTAATCTGTTATGCTACCTGTTAAGTTTCGCGAGATTATAAATGTCATGGAGTTATATAAAAAGGAGGGACAGCTAGGGACACTGGAAGTACTTGTAAGGCTATCTGTTAAGATTGCATGAAATACTAAAAAGTCATGAAATCCATTATCGCTGTGCTAGCTTCACCTTTGATTGAAATGACAAATAAAGTCACTGAAGCAATGAAACAAAAGTTTTTGGTAGAATACATTAAATCAGGAACTATTCCAGAAGGTTTTTACATTCATACTATGAAGGATGGTAGAGTTCAGTTTAGAAAGATAAAGCAACCATTAGATAAAGAAGGTATATTAAGGAAGATTAAACTTCATGAGGACAACATTGCTGAACTTAAGAAGAAGTTAGAAGAGTTGGAGAAAGCAGACGACAGTGAGGAATAAAGCAATGAATTCAACAGGGTAGAAATGAGGGTAGAAATGAGGTTAGATCTAACCATCTACCCTAAACTTATTTTTGTGCTATGTTTTCATACGTGTGAGGGTGGTGATATCATTTATTTTTAAGTTTATTTTTATTTTATTTTTATATAAATGACGAAAACTATTGAGATAACAAACTACAACGGTCATGAGTTCAAGAATTTGTTCTTCGTTCCTCGTGAAAATACATTCTATCAGATACGAGGGAGAAAGGGTAAAGTTAGTTTGAGCGTTTATGAAGGAATGAAGAATGGAAAGTTTATACAAGCATATGATACAAACGGTAAGCGTGTTTCATTAGCTTTGTCAAAACTTACAGGTATAAACTATGACAGTGATTTTGACCTATATGAAGAAGAAAGTGAGTCAGAAGAATATGAACTGTTATGTGAAGCACAGCAATGGGAGGAGTTGCAATACTTTTGTAAGTGAGAACGTTTATTTTTACATTAGTGAAGTCATTAGTGGTTGGCGGTTTGTAAATATTTAAGGTTAAGTTAGTGTTGTCGTTTGTGTTGTAAAATATACGTTACTGGTTTTGTAAATATTTAAGGTTAAATGGTGTACGGAGGCGCGCAGTGCCTCCGTACCCTTGATATGTATACTAACTACTTTAACATCCAATCTCATTGCTACTGCACTTAAAAGAGCTGCATTAGGTCTATACTGGGAAAAAGGGAATCATGGCGGTGCAGATCCATACCTATGCGAGCGTGATCAGCTCACTTTAAAAGAAATTATCGAAGATTCTGCTTACAAAGGTGAAGCTCTAGAAGCAGCTGACATTATTGACGAGGCGTTCAAGTTGAAAGAGCTCAGAAGAGATTATGGTTACAGATTCCTTCTTGAGATTAATTGTCCTACTCTTGCAGAAGAAGTTATCAATACTCTTGGTGGTGATGATGTATCGAGACCTTATGTTAACCATATTTTACAGCAATTGCATTGCAAGCTTAAGGCATGCCAAGAGATTGAAGAATCAAGATACATGGCGTGTGAACCAAGAATTATCGAAGAATTCTACGATAAACATCGTGAAACAATCGAAAGTACTCCAGAGGAGTTGATTTTTAGTATCGATGAAACATTCATAAACAAATTTAAGAAGAAGAAAGTTGCATTACCTGAGGAGATAGAGCATATGATCGCCAAAGGAATTCCAAACTTTCCGCACATTACAGCTTTATGCGGATGCTCAATGACAGGCAAATCTGTCCCACCTCTCTTTGTTCTCCCATGTATTGCAGAACTACCTAGAGAACTGAAAGTATTCCAGCGCGAAAGACATTGTTGGTTTACTTCTACGCCAAAAGGCTGGGTGAACAGAAGTGTATTCTTATTGTATTGCATTTTCTTCATTGAGTGGCTTAACTTTGAACGCCAGAGAATGCCAGAAGATATACGTGACAAGCCTGCTCTCATTGTGTGTGATGGACACTCCAGCCGCGAGAATCCTCTGGCATTGTTCCTTTTGGCAAGTGCCAACATCAAATTAATTGTTCTTCCCGCACATACAACACACATTTTACAAGTATTTGATGTTGGCATTGCCAAAAGATTAAAGTCCAAATTCACGGATTATCTGAGAGATTACATTAAGGCACCGAAGCAAGAGTTCAACAGCAATGCTGCAATGATGCGCTACGCCATTATCTACTCATTTATTAGCGCATGGCAAGAATCAGTATCATTAAGAACGGTTCAAAATGCTGCTGCCGCCTGCGGTCTTTGCCCTTGTTCTGTAGAAGCTCTCAAACATAATAAGTATGTTCGTGAATTGACTCCTGCAGAAAAAGAATTGCAAGAGAAAAGAAATTACCGTAATCGAAATCGTTTTAACATCAATGGTGAAGAATTGACGACGATGGACATGATTTGCGCAATTTCTGACAATATTAAGAAGAATCTGTGATTTTGCAGGAAGCCAGAACAAGACACCAAGGAACGTTTCTACTTTTGGATTACAAACTATCTTGATCCCAGCACTGAGTTGTTGACAAAACTCCCTAATATGGAGTGTGGTAGAATTTACGAAAAAGTGACACTTAACCTTAAATTTTCAAACACTATTTTTTGATTGTATTTTGTTATTTATATATTTATATATATGTATATTTATATATATGTATATTTATATATATGTATATTTATATATATGTATATTTATATATATGTATATTTATATATATGTATATTTATATATATGTATATATTTATATATGTATATATTTATTAGAAACTGCTTCATGCTGCATTGAGTAAGCTTCGATGTCTTTGTAGGATAGCTTTCTGAGAGCGAAACAAGATAGTGTTGAAAAAAAAATTTTGAAAATCTGAGAGACTGTGCAAGAGCCAACGACCAAAACACTACCAGTAAGATACAGCAGTAGTAGCTGCTTCATGCTGCATTGAGTATTGTTGAATAATTTGAAGTAGTGGTTTTTGAAATCAGCACCCCTATGAGAGCGCTGGCGACCGAAACACCACTAGTAAGATTGTGTATTAGAAACTGCTTCATGCTGTGTTGAGTAAGCTTCGATGTCTTTGTAGGATAGCTTTCTGAGAGCGAAACAAGATAGTGTTGAAAAAAAAATTTTGAAAATCTGAGAGACTGTGCAAGAGCCAACGACCAAAACACTACCAGTAAGATACAGCAGTAGTAGCTGCTTCATGCTGCATTGAGTATTGTTGAATAATTTGAAGTAGTGGTTTTTGAAATCAGCACCCCTATGAGAGCGCTGGCGACCGAAACACCACTAGTAAGATTGTGTATTAGAAACTGCTTCATGCTGTGTTGAGTAAGCTTCGATTTCTTTATCAGACCACCTTTAAATTAACCACTCACATTCTCACTGTGGTCCATCTAAAATTTGTAAACTTTATGACATAAAATTATATTATATGCAGGATCCCACCTATTACTTAATCTTTTTGGAATAAATGTTTTATAATATTTATCGATTGATTGTAATTTTTTGTATAAAAAAAGTTTTTTATTTATATTAAAAATATATTCGGTTAATGATATTATCTTATAATTTGTAAATAAATCTAGTAATAAAATAACTTTAATAATTGGTGTCACTTTTTCGAAAATTCTGGTTTTTTCCACCAAGGAACGTTTCTACTTTTGGATTACAAACTATCTTGATCCCAGCACTGAGTTGTTGACAAAACTCCCTAATATGCCAGGTTATAGTCCAAATGATTAGGAAAATTTTCCAATTTTCCAACAAAAATTTTCCAATTCTCCACCAAAAATTTTTTAATAAAATATTATTTTACGGCATTGCCCGTCACTTTTTTCGGTACAAGGCTAATATCACGGTATAACCCCCCTGAAAAGACTTTATTGCTTTTTTTTTCAATGGATAAAAATATTCAGAAGTTTACAATTTTTACAAGTTCTTAAAATAAAACAAAGATCAAATGTATACAACTATATAGTTTTTACTACTTTTTATTAATTTTGTCTTTTCTAATAAAATTCAATGGATCAATTCAAAACGATACGAATTCATAATGTTGGGGGATAATGAAGGAAATTTAACACTGAACTATAGCCTCATTAGTTTTCATTCTTTAAAATGGGCTCCAGAAAGCATGATTATAGTATAAGTAATGAAATTAAACTTAAATTAAAGGAAACCTCGCTTCTTAAAACATTTCAATTAACAAATAAAAGCCAAATTCTAATTATGGCGCAAGGAACATATCTATTTAAATGTTATGGTGCAGAAGGAGGAAATAATAATGTCTATTTGGGAGGTAAAGGTTCCTACATTGCCGGAGCTATCTACATTGACAAAGATAGCAAATCATTTACAATTGATGTTGGTGGAAAAGGCCCGGACACTCCAAATAAAGGGAAAGCAAATCCAGGAGGATATCCAGATGGCGGAGCAAGTGGAAATTCCAATAAAGCTATATATATGCTAGGGAGTGCAGGTGGTGGAGGTTCCAGCTCTGTCTACTTGAACAACGATAAAATTCTTGTTGCAGCGGGTGGGTCAGGTTCAGCAGGCAATTGCCAAGGAGCTCCTAGAGGAAATCTTGAATATTCATATGAATATGAATATGTTGGAGTCAATAGTTATAAATTAAAAACAGTAATTCCTCCTTCAAATTCACAATGCGAAACCGATCCATTAAATACATATCAAAACTATCCACCAAGTGGAATTGGAGGTGGCTATCCATGTGGAAAAAGAGGAAGTTCACAGTCAATTCAATCATCATCGAGCTATCTAGTTTCATCAAGTGGAATGTCATATATTAACAGGGATTATATGAAATTAGTTGAAATTTCTGATGGAAATTCAAACTCTGGAAGAACAGGCAATGGCGAAATAATAGTTAATAAATATTGTTCAGATGAAAATTGTTACAATTGCCTTGATGATTCAAACAAATGTTCAATTTGCAAAGATGGATATCATTCAAATTCTAATGGTGTATGCAAAATTGATTGCAACAAATTCAAACAAAATGGGGTTTGTGTAGAAAATTGCGATCCAGGCTACTTTATAAGTTCAAATAATGAGTGTATTAAGTGCCATGAATCATGCTCAAAGTGCGATGGGATAGAAGCGAACAAATGCACTGAATGCACAGGTGATAGATTCTTGGAAAATAATATGTGCATTTCTTCATGCGGTGAAGGAAAATATGGAAATAGAACAACAAATACATGCGATCAATGCTCTCCAAGATGCAAAATATGCAACTCATTTTTCGAATGCACTAAATGCACAAATGGTTATTATTTATCACAAGGAAATTGCAATCATTTGGCATCACAACAATATGAAATATATCGATTTTCTAATTTCAATAAGAGAGTCTTCAAAAATTGTTGCGATTAATATGATTGATTTAAAATTTCTGATCAAATTTATTCAATTTTTCATATTTATATTCTAAATAAGCCTAATTACCATATTACATTATTAATAAAGTATTTTTGCTTCTCAGTTATCCAAAATCTTCAGATAAATTTTGGATCTGCTTTTCAATATTTCGAATAGCAAAAAGGTATGAAAATAAATTCAAATGATCAATCAGCCATAACAAAATCCTCAATCTCGATTTCCGCCGAAATATTTCTTAATTATTGTATCTGAATCGGGCTAAGTTACTAACATTAATCCACTAAACACACTTAAGTAATCTGTAGGCTTGATTAACAAATTTCAAACAAATTTCTTCTGGTCGAATAACCATTTCTTTTGATATAATACTCGGTTTGCAATACGAAAAGGCACATACATAAGTATGTAAATTACGAACAGGATCTTTCATAATTATATTTTGTAAAGCAGACCGATTCATTCATTTTATTTTTGATAAAAAAATTTTCACAGTATAAAAAATCAGATTCATTTCTTTTTTGAAAAATATTTTATATAGCAAAATGTGGTTATCCACCTTTGATTGAAATTTCTTTACACTTTAAGAGTGGACGCTTTCAAAACTTTCAATCAACATTCTTTTAGATGAATTTAGGTGACAGAATAACAAAGGATACCAACGAAAGAAACCACAAGCGTCGCCGCGCCACTAAATCAGATGCTAAAGGTAGTTTCAGCTTAGTTGAAAGATCAAAATCATTAGTTCTCTTCCCTGACATTAACAGCTTTGATAAGAATAAGGAAAATTGCTCACATATCATCAATTCTACACCAGAAAACTCAATAATAACAAACCAATCAAATATCAATAGTAATCTGAACCCACAGAACGAGTCACCAAGAAGCCCAACTCTCAACAAATCGAATTCTCTTGATATCATTAACATAGACGTTTCTTCAAGAAATAAAACTACACATAGGAAAGATCCTCCGCTCAGGCCAGTAGATTCTGCTAACATAGACATCGTTGAACTACAAAAGGAAGAACCTGTAAAAAATCCAACTGCTTCAAATATTGATATCGATCATCCCAAAGAAAATCCAGCCATTGCCGAAGCTCCAGGCCTTACTCTTGAAGACGATGGTAATAATGTTCCCGAGCAAAAACAACCAAAGAAAACAAAACGATCAAGAAAATCCAGAAAAGCAAAGAAAAGTAGTGAAAGTAATAATGAAGAGGAGAAAGTTAAGTCTCAGAAGCGTAGAAGGAAACTTACAAGAAGTAAATCCAATAATATTTCTTCTCCACCAGTTGATAAAAAAGCTGCTAATGAGAATGACTTAAATGCATCTAAGTCGCCAAATGCTCACTCATGATTATCAAAATTACGAAGAAATTCTACAAATTCTCGGAATTCTTTGCCAGTTTCCTCCAAAATCCAAGATAGTCAACTTATTTCTATTCTTAAACCTTTCTTACAGGAGTCCAACACACCAGAAAAACAACAGGAAGAAACGAACAAAGAAAATTTGAACCAACCACCTAAAGAAGAATCAAATGTCAAAGAGGCCGATAACAATCAAGAAGTTAACCAAAATGCTAATGATAATGAGAAGCGAATTCTGTTCAAACCTCCTCCAGGAATCAATGATGATCTTGACCAACCAGTTGACACATATATTCCTACGACAGATAAAACCATGGCCGTAGGTTTCCCAACTGACATTGAAAAGTTCGGATTTGAGCTCAGAAGCTTGGTGATACCAATTCAAGGTTGGAGACCATTCCAAGTCTCAATAATTCCAGACCCTGATGACAAACCAATCGAAGAAGAAGCTCATCATACTTATGATTTCATTCATATGATTAATGAAATGAAACGCAGTTAAACACAATGTAGAGATATTGTTTGTATTATAAAGCGCTTTATATTTTCTTAATTGAATTTGCTTATTTAATTTTTTAAGAGATTATTTGGTCTATTTCCATAGATTCTCCTAACAAGTTATTAAAACAACCAAAAGAAGAAATTGACTGGAACAAGGATTATTTGACACACGATTATTTTCAAATCTGAAGAAATTTACATTAAATATTTTCTCAATATAACGTGAAAAAGATAAATTAGTAGCATTATAAATATATGTAGTTGCAATTCGTAAAATGTAAACAGGAGTACAAAAAATAACGCTAAAAATAAAAATTAAAAATTTTGTGACAGGCCTTTGAAGGTATAACAGAAGCATCTGCACACCAACACAACCTGTATTTTTGCCCCTTCCAGGCTTAGCTGGCATACTAATGACAACTGGGTAGGAAGGGAATTAGATGTTTGATGAAGCCAAACCGCCAATTTTGAATAGACTTTGACAACAAATGTATTTACAAAATAATCCCATTACATGTCAAAATTGATTTCTCAATAGAAAGAAAAGTTATTTAAGGGTGCGCCTGGGAGGATCATGTAAACTTCAGAATTTAGAACCTTAATTTTTAAGCAATTACTTGGTACCTAAATAGGTAGTAAAACTCTAAAAATATCAAAAAGTACAACTTGGCTCCATAATAATCCTGTCATGGTGGCAGTTTGTATTCCTTAGTATTTTCCTCTTGAATCTCTTTTTCTGTCGAAATTAAATTCAAATCTCAGAAGTAGAAGTGAATAATCGACTTATTGCTGCTATTATACGAATAAACAAATCCATTATATTATTTTTATTTACATAATATCTGTTTGAAGTTCATAATTCTATAAATTTTTCTTCAAAAACATTACAATCTTGATAGTTTTAATACTGTTTAATAGGTTTTTGGCACCTTATTTAGTAATTACAACGTATCGAGTCGATCTGAACTTAATTTTCGGAAATTTAAAATATTTATCATAAGTAAAATCTGATTTGAAATTTATGTTTAATTACTATATTTTGCATAATCCTACGTAGCTTTTGTAAAAATTCATCAAAAAAAATTTTAACGTGCTTTAATTTTTTATTTTTTAAAATAATACATATTATTATATAACTAGAATATTTACAAATTTTACTGCTTTCAAAAATTTAATCCTCCTCCTCTCAAATAAACGTACATCCGGGTGGCCTGTTTTTTGCAAAAAATAAAATTTCATTTTTTTATGCTTAAAAAGTCAGAATTTTTATTTGCTTCTGGGATATATGATGGCTATATCAGACGCCCATTCTTTTTGATACTCAACATTAAACATAAAACTTAGCCGTTAAGGCTCTTCTGAAAATATTTTTTTTTTCGAAAAATTTGCGAAAAAAATCAAAAAATTTAAAAATCCCTGAATCTGCAGGGATTTTAAAAAATTCTTTTTAGTAAAACTTAAGGATATTGTATCAGATATATTGGTATGGGCAAATTCAATTTTAATACAATATTCATCGAGATATTGCGCTAACGAAGCGTTCAAAATTGAGAGGGTAATCCTCCTACTCTCAAATAAACGTACATGCGGGTGCACCCTTAACAAATGTAGATACATGATAATCTAAAATTGAAGAAAATTTTACAAGTTGTCATTTTTTTTTCATTTTTTGAAAACCCAAACTGATAATTTCTTGATATTTAATAATAGATTTATTCTAACCTAAAATTGAATTAATTTTTTTTGTTCGATTCAATTCAATACGTTTATTTTTCATCGTTTCTCTGTCGTAAAATTATGCAAGAAATTGTATGAACATTAATATAAATATTTTACATCAAAGCGATTATTCTTAATTCAAATATAAAAAATTGATGAAATCATGGTTTTCGAAAGTATTTTCCTCGGAAAAAGACCCTTTTATTATCTACCTTATGCGTGACAAAACCATATTCGATGACATTAGGTTATGTTTATCGAATTATGACGCTCTTCCGAAAACAAAGGAATTGCAAACCCAAGTAATTCATACGGCAGAACAACTTACGCATATTGCATCAGGATATGACATCGTTAAGATCTCAAAGGCATCAGAAGAAACAGATTTATTACTTGAATTTATAAATCCTTTGATAATAACGTTTTCATTATTACCTACAAATTCAACAAGTTCAATATCCATAGTACATGCGTTATCAATTCTGTACTCATTTCTTGATGTTTCAAAAGATATACCTCGAATTCCAGAATTTCTTTTTAATCTTTTTAGTATTTTATCAATGTATCCATTTATATCAGATTTAATCGATGTGATTATAAGCCATGTTATATCAAACAAGAATTATATTGACTGCTTACGCAATTCTTCTTTCTTTATCAAATTTCACAATAACTTTTTACTAAATACTCAATACTCGGCCGCTATACAATTACTAGCAAACAAATTATTAGATAATTTCAGTAAATATCATTTTGAATCTGTTATTGACTTTACTGAACCAACAAAACTCTTTTTTGACTGCTTAAAAGATGACAAAATACCAGCAGAAAACCTTGAAAGTGCATGCATATAATTTGCAGTATTCCTTAACATAACAAATCAGCTAATTTTACTTGAAAACAGAGAAATTTTACAAATCTTTCATGACAAACTACTAGAGAAGCAAAGCAAATCATTACCTAATGTATTTTATCTATTTTCTATTAACACAAAAGGCCAAATTTGCAAACCAACTTTCTTATTTATGTATGATCACATAATTCGTGTTCCAATTTCATCAGATTCGATGTTTTCTATGTTCAAAAAATTCGAATATCTGCTACAGAACCTTAAAAATGACATAACATCACTGGAAAAAGCTTATCCTATTAATACAATTTTTCAACCTCCACAAAAGTTTGTAAACTCAGAAGTTGCTGAAGAAATACTGACAATATTCCAACTGCTTATCTCAAATAACTTCGATAGACTCGTTTTTTGTTTAAAACCGATTTTCAATATTTTGACAAATTTTGATTTAGAGATTAACTGCACTATATATCAATCTCTCAATGCATTGGTTGAATCAAATAAGATATCTCCTGCTGATTTAAATGACAATTCATTTTTACAAATATTAGTTTCTAAAAAAGAAAGAATTTTCTCGAATTTGAAGGACCAGAGTTTCATTTCATTGTTAGAGAAATGTTATGCAACAATAAATGATGACGACATCCAATGGAATTTGATGAAAATTTTGTTACAAACCGAAAAATTTTTGAACAACAAACAAAATTTTCTCAATTTTGTTCAAAGTTTCTGACGATTTCTCCTTCTTATTCAATGGTTTTACACTTGATGGCTTTCATCATAGACTCTCCAAAAGAATCATTCATGAACATTTTCATTACTTCTTTCGCGGATTCAATTGAAATTTGTGACATTTTTGTCAAAAATGACTGTTTACAATGGCTGTCAAATTTAATGTTAACAATTAATTTTCAACCATATTTGATTAGTTGTTTTATATCATCTTTGATGCATTTCAAGATTTACCAAGAGATAAATGAAACAATCAAAGAACTTCCTTTAAATCATCCAATATTTACTCTTGATTCTGAATTACTTTATAATATTGTTTTCACTTCATCTGTAACTAACCTAACCAATATAAGAGTTCCAGCATTACTTCCTTTGATTAACATCAAGAATCCCATCAATTTATCTCCTTATTCTGTTTACGCGACATCGAAAAGTTCTTTGTCAGAATTTATAAGGCATGGAGTAAAATTAGATGATAATCAAATTGTCATTGATATGGCAAATAGATATATAACAAGTTCACAGTTCCTTTATCTATTGAAAAATACAAAGAAATGCTCAAATTATTGCAAATTGAATTCAGATAATTTTCCTTTGTTTGAAGTTACGAATTCTATTCAAAGAAATTCATTTTTATCATTATCAAATGTTAGATTTATTTTCTTAAGTATATGGCTGAAATTTGTTGATGAAAACTCATTGAGTTTCGTTGTTTTGAAAACTAATCTTTTTAATTTGTTTTGGAAAGAAAATAATTTAGTTTTCGAACGCGGAAAAAATTTCAAAAAAGTGAAAATAGAAAGTGGAAAATGGATTTTAGTATCAATAGCTTTGAACCAAGAATTAGAAATATTTATAGGAACAGAAGTCATCAAATCCAAAGTTAATGAAGAAGATTTCACGAATTTGACAATTGGAAGTTTTGACACATTATGTCCTTGCAAATAGTATATTGGCAGCGCAATAAGAATCTCTAATTCTATATTGAATATTTCGGATATTCTTCAATTCGGACCAGGACATTATTCCCTTATTTCTGATGAATTTTTAATTACACCTTATTCGAATTATAAAAATATGAATAGAGGTGATGGATTTCTTTCAATTCCTTATTGCGGATTTCCATGGTATTTTAATATATATCAAAATGAAGTTTATAATGAAATGATGTCTACACAAAATAGTGAAAGAATTGAAGATTTAATTCGCTGCTTTTTATTCGCAAAAATTTTAGTTCCTAACCTCAAAAACATTTGGATAACAATCATATCAATACTCAAAGAAAAACATCATTTGTTGTCTGAAGCTTTTATTGTTGAATTGTTTTCAATTTTGTTTACAAGCACAAAAAAGCCGTATTTCATGAATTTTTTGTATGATGTTGACATTTGGTATTTGTATGGAAAGACGCTGTTGAAAGCGATCAACAGTAATTTGAACACTTTAATCAATCGTTTCAAGATAAAGAAAACAATTTTGGCATCAATTTTGTCATCAGTTTACAAAATAATTCCTGACAAAGTTTTGATCATCAAATATTTATTAAAATTCGCAAAACAAACAGAATCAAATGTGTTTTTATCACATGCATTTAATTTGTTCGCTTCAGCTGATCTGGAGAAAAGAGATGTCATCAAAACAATCAACTTCTTTTTGACGAAAAACAACAAATTCACATTGATCACAGAAATTTTTACTTTCGATGAAATTGTTGATGTGATGGCAAATTTGTCAAAAAGTGACATGATCATTGATCTTCTTAAAATGATAACATTATTATCGACAATGAAAACAGGATACATCACGAATCCAGCTAGATTATCTTTACCTTTAATTCCGCATTTGATGTATCACAAAGTTTGGATTTCTCTTTTCCAAATTGCAACAGGAAGAAAACCGTTAGACGATAAAAGTGACACCCCAATTATCTCATTTTCTGACAAGTTCTTAGTCAATGAACAAATCTTGCCGCTTATTGTTTCTTTGATTGGATTTAGTTTCATTAGTTTAGCGATCATTTATACTGATGAAAACAAAGATAAAAATGAAGTTAAAAAACTTGAAGATGAATTAAAAGAATCAATAACTGTTATATCGAATTTCGGAAGATATAATAATCAACTATTTCTTTCTCACGATTTATTTGATTTCATTTTATTCTTCACACCTTTATTTTATGATCCTTCCGAATTGTTTTCTGATCAAATTTCTATTTTATCACAGATAGATAAAATAACAACATCAGAACCAAATATGAAATCCATCTTCAATATATGGAGTTTTTCACAGGATTTCTACCAAATCTGGATGAAAAATAGAATCGGTTCTCCTCCAATTTTCACATTCACTTTCATTGCTTTCTTTGCACCACTTGTTTCTTTTTACGCTCCAGCAATCAAATTCCCATTATCTAAATTTGAAAAATTCCCAGAGTTTTTGATTGCTAAAGTAAGTGAAGTATCAAATTTCTTGATCCTGTTTCTGGCGAGTTCATTGAATGATCTCGAGAATTTTAAGAAATTATTTGATACTATCGTTTTCACTTCACCTTACAAAAAACTTGAAGGATACAGTAAATTCGCAGTTACTTTAATTGTGAATTTCCTCACAAAAAGGGATATTTATTTATCACCTTTAGAATCATTAGAATATTTATTCAAATCCATTGCTTTGGAACTCAAAGAAAGAACATTTGGAGATGACAACAAACTAATTATTACTTCATGTTTGACATCTTTAAATGCACTTTCAAACGCGATGCAGAAAACAGATTTTATCAGACTCACATTTGCAACAAGACAAATTTTGGCTTTGACATTTGATGTTTGTAAAATTACTGAAATTTCAGGAATTACGAATCTATTGGCTGCTACTCCAGGTTTCTTGTATAACTTCAGAGTTTTTGATGATTTCACTTTTTCTGGTGGATTTCTCATAAAAATGGCGAATTCTTTACAAGATGATGATCAAATATCATCAAAATTCTTTGATGAATTTGTTGATAAAATAATTTTATCTGATGCTTATTTGAAACAATTCAACGTGAAATTTGATGAAGAAGAATTCTATAATTTGATGAGATTCATCAATGGTGTCAAAGTGTTGATAAACAGAGGTAAGAATGGTTACTATAACTGGATTAGTTCTAACCAAGAAGTTTACGCTTCAATGACAGAAATTTTGGAGAATATGAACAAAACATTTTTGGGTGAAATTGAAAATGATCGAGAGATTGTTTTTAATAACACCAATATTTCTGAAAAAATCAGAGAAATGTCATCGAATTTGCAAAATCAAACAAATAAGACACAAAGTAAGAAGTTTTATTTGGCAAATTCAATTGAATTCCTTCAGGTTTCTTTCTTGAATGTAATGTTAAGAATCACTGAAACAAATATGTCCAAAGAGTTCATTAAACACAACAAATTATTTGGACAATCAATTGAATATTTCCATCCAAAATCTTACAGATTGTCACAGACAAAATTACCTGTTTTAAACTCCAGAATCATGGCTCCTTCTAACTACGAATTACCTCATGTAGAATTCTCTCAACAAAGTGATACAAGTGATGAAGAAAAATCAACTGAAATTGCTCAAAATTCTGAAGAAAATGAAATGGCAAATCAAAATGAGAACAATGATGAAGATTCTCAGCAGAATAAAGAGAATGAAGAAGATTCCAAGCCAAATGAAGAAAATTTAAATAAAAATGAAGATGAAAATGATAATATTGAAGAGAATCCTTCTCAAGATAAACAGAATGAACGAGATAATGCAGAGATCTCGAATGAACTAGGACATACAGAAACTTCAAATATAACAGAAGAAATTTCTGTGAAAGATGAAAAATCAGATGAAAACAATGAAGACGAAGAAAATGATTCGCAGATACATGTTGAAAATGAAGAAAAACATGTTAATGAAGATGTTCCAATAGAAACAGATGAAGAAATTTGTCAAAATCCAATTGGAATCAATGATTTAGTTGATTGTTTCCAGAGAAATTTGATGAATATGTTCACTTTTGTTTCAAACAAAAAGTTTTTACCTACAACTTATTCAGGACAAACAGTTGATGATAATCTCTTGAATTACATCAATTTCAGTTTCGTAACAACAGAAGATAAAGAGAGTTTCATATCCAAATTCAATGCAAAACTTTTGTATTACACATTCTCAATTGATTCAGCAGTTTTCCAACTGAAATCAAAGATATTAATACTTCTCAATGCAAATCTGACTCAAAACAACGAACTTATTTTAGAAAAATCATCCAAAAATGACTCTTTGTTTGAGAAATTATCTCAATCTATTTTCGACCTTTCATTAGGAAACTTCACTTTGTTTGCAGGCCACTTCTTGTTGGAAATTCCGATTTCTTCCATCATTTATTCCCAGAAACATTTGATCAATCACAAGCAAAACGGAATTTTGTTCTCAACACTTCAAACAGGTGACATCATTTTGTATACAAACGATAACGGTTTCCCTTCTCAATTTTTGAATATTTTCAATATAGAAAATGACGGTTATTTACTTCACAATTTACAATTGAGCGAAGCAAGTAATTTATGGTCGAATGGAACATTGAATAATTTTGAGTATTTGAGTCTTTTGAATGCATTTTCCGGACGAAGTTTCGTTGATTTAGCACAATATCCCGTTTTTCCATGGGTTATTGCAGATTATGAATCAAAATTATATCCACAGAAAAGGAGGAATTTAGAGAAAGTTATGGGCCAGTTATCAGAAGAAAGAGCAAAGATATTTGATGTTTCTTTCCAGACACAAGGTTACTACTATGGTTGTCATTATTCGATGCCCGCATCGGTTCATTATTTCCTATTCAGGATTCCTCCATTTTTGTTTTTCGAATGGGATTTGCATGGAGGCTGGGATAACAAAGATAGAATGTTCTTTGATATAGAAAGAAGTTGGATTAGCTCTTCAGTTGAAAATACAAATGATGTCAAAGAGCTTTTACCAGAATTTTATTCAATTCCTGATTTCTTGACTGATAAAAATGAAATTAAAATCGAAAAAGTGACACTTCCTCCATATTCATCTAATCCTGTTCATTTCATTATGATCCAACGTGAAGAACTCGAGAAGGCGAAGATAGAGAACGGGATTGATTTAATTTTTGGATTCAAACAAACAGGAACTGCGGCAATTCAAGCTCAAAATGTTTTTATGCCAACTTTGTATCATAACTATGTAATGAAAGAAGATGTTGATCCAGAGACAATCAGTTTGCAACTAGAAAACTGGGGACAGTGTCCTATCCAGTTGTTTAAGAAGAAACATCAATCAAAAACTAGTTTAATCGAAAATCCTTCTGAGAATTTTGATGTTTTCGAAAACAATTCTATTTTTTCGAATTTAATTTGTTACATTAACAAAGAACAGTTTTATAGAGTTGACAAAGGAAATATGTCAATTGTTAATGAATCAAATTTGATCATTACTGACAAAATGTTATGTTTCGCAACAAAAATTGATGTTTCTTCTAATGAATGTTTCTGTGTTGTTGATTTTTCAAATGGATTTAGTAGAGTTTATCGTCTTCAAAGTGGTTTAGGATCAGAAAAATTCCCACTTTTCCCACATGATTCGAATGGTTTTTCGAAGGTAAATGGTCAAGATTTAATTGCTGGAACAACTGAGAATGAAAAGAATTTGATCCTTTGGGACTTCGTACGCGGAAGAATTCTTAGGGTTTTGAAGTTTGATGAGAAAATTATTGATTTCTGTTTCGATGAATACTAATGAATTATTTTTGTTTTATTTAACTCAAAGTTGACTGTTTTGTCAGTCAATGGTTTGCATTACATCACTGATGATTCCATCAGAAATGGTAGATGTATTTCTACTATGAGAATCCCGAATTATGATAGAAATCGTTACTTCTTTGTTGGTTTTTCGAATGGACATGTCAAACAAATGAAAATAAGTTTGTTACCATTGAAAATCAAAATAATTCAAGATTTTAACATAGGCAAGGTTAATCTTTCTTCAATGGCAAACTTTACTAACGGAATTACCATAGCCGATAATCATGGTGATGCATTTAATATTATGAAGACTGTTTTTAAGATAAATGAATAAAATGTTTATTGTTACTTTATTATGAATTAATTGATCAATCTTATTTTCTATATCATAGATTGTTCACTGAATACAAAAGTGTATTGGGGAATTCATTATTTTTAGTATAATTCATTTGAATGTTAATAAAAAATGTTATTTAATTGTTCAATAAATGATTTTATTCTTTTAGTTTATTACTTTATGGGAAAACTTTATTGAGGTGTTCTGTATAATCCTTAACATATTGTTCATAATGAGGATTCTTTGCGACATCATTGAAGGCAATATGAGGAAGTTCCTGATATCCAACAAATGTCATGCAGGCTCTGAATGGATATAAAACTTCGTCTGGACCTCTTTGGTTAAAGAATTGGCCTGGTTCGTGTAATGACTCGTATGGTGCATTCCATGTTGAAGAAACCATGAATTTCTTATTTTGGCAAAGGCCACCGCTTCCATAAAGCTTTGTTGGATCCTTACGAGTTCTTCCATCTGATTCATAAAGAATTCCATGTCCTGCGAAGAAAACTTCATCAATATACTTCTTTACAGTCCATGGAACTTGCATCCACCAAACAGGTACTTGCCAAATAACAACATCAGCCCATTTGAATAACTCTAATTCAGCTTTGATGTCGTATTCTTTATCACATTTTGTTGTTTTTACAGGATATCCTTTTTCAACAAGAATCTTCTCTGCAAGCTCTACTAAACTTGCTGATAGTTTACCACCTGACATTTGGAAGGCTTTTCCTCCGTTGACAATTAATATGTTTTGCTTCTTTGACTCCATCAGTCCGAAGATTAAAAAATGAATTGACAAAAAATTGAAAGGTTATCATATTTACAAGTTATCATGATTTTTTATGTCTACAGTTTTGTGATTCTAACTATACGGATGATGTATAATATTATTACATTGACTATAGTAAAAAAATTATTGTTCGAATTTTGTGAGAATGTGCCATTCTCTCAATTTTTGAAAACTTTATTCAAAAAATTTTGATAAATTACCAACTCAGCACAAAACTGTAATTGAATACTCACTAAAGAGGAAAATTATTTTTTTTTGTAAATAAATAAGCTTTTTTCGATGAAGATGATTATCAAATTATTTTGATATCAAAGTCCTCTCATTATATACATTAATGTACATGATAATGTATTATCTTTACACATAAGAAATATTAATTTTTTAGATATTTCATATGGATTGAAATTATCAAGATAAATAATTGTTTGGAAATTGACATTAACACTGATTGATAAGGAATAGCATCTTTTACAATTATGAATGGCTATCGATGATTTTTAAATACCATTGAATATATCGATGTAGTATTTGTGGTTACTTCGCAATTTGCTGAATTCGTTTGGATGAACGTCTTGATCGGACATTATTAATAATACATATTTGGACTTTATCATAAAAAATATCATTTAAATTTATCATAAGAAAAAATCCTATGTTATGCATGTGGAAAACAATGACTTCAAAGATTTCGGATACCCTCAATTTTTGACTTTTGCAACTTTTTCATGACCCCTTACCCAGGTATCTAAAATACCATTTATCGCCTGAAAAGCACCCTTAATTTATGCCAATTGAAAAAATAAAGATATGTTTAGAATGCTGATATGATGGAGAATCATGCTGCATCATTATTGGCCAGCAATATATAATATTTAAGAAATCTACGAGATTATCTGATTTCATGAAACTCAATGTATACTAAGTTTCAGACTTTGAAATTTTAACATGTTGATATGAGTACATAGGGTTTATGATTCCAGTCATTTATTTAAAAAATTACAAAAATGAATTAATATGATGTGAGTAACAATGGTAATAAACGCTTAATTACTAATATATTATTTCTTGGTAGGAATGAAATGTTTTGGTGACATTTATAGAAGTTAAGCTGAGAATCAAAAATGCAAAAATTATTTTAAATATTACAAGCATTATTTGATGTCATTGAGTTTAGAGTCGTGTAGATATATGAGTACAATATGTTATTGATGTATATATGCAATAATTGTGAAAATGAAATGTGAATCTCAAGATGAGTTGCATGTTACTGCGCTATAATTTGAATTCAATACGTACATAACATTACTAAATGTATTTTAAGATAATACAAAAAATTAAGCTTGCAAAAAGATATCGAAATGTAATTTTCATTAGATTCAAATTTCTGAATAGATTTTGATTTTAACTATTGATGAGTTTGTCAAACCTCTATAATAATAGAATGTAGAACTAATTAAATATAATTAATAAAAAAATACAAATTTAAGTGATATTATAAGAGATATATGTGATGTTACCAATATGATATGATATTGGAGAACTGATAGAATTGTGATGTGAGACTAAATATGATTTTATTATGAATAGGAGAATAATATTAGAAGAATTTCTTGAATTTAATGTATCTGAATATGTAATTGGGCATATATTCTATATATATATTGGTAGGTTAACTAGAAATAAGAAGATGAAAGATTGTTAATGAATAATATGAGATTAAGCGAAAATATATTGTTCTAATAGATGAGTGTTGAGATCCAATATATATGAAGAGGGATATGTGAGAGGAAATATGTATATTTAATAAAATAAGCGATGAGAGAAAAAATAACAAAGATTTATATGAAATTTTGAGTATTGAAAAAGCTCGATTAGTGATTTTATGTCTGTTAAAGGAATAGATATTCTAGGAGAAAGATAAATTGAATTAAAGAAGAATAAAAAAAGTTGATTAAGATTGATAAAAATATTGAATTGTATGACAATGGAAAGAAGGAATAAATTGGTGTTGGTATGACGGTATCATTTCGGGAGACATTGCCTCTGCATGTCTCCCAGAATGAGACAATCTTCTGCAATCAGAATGTGATTGCAAAACTTTGACCGACAAGAGTGTATTGTGCACTCCTGTCGGTCGCAGTGTCTCATTCTGGGAGACATTGCCTCTGCATGTCTCCCAGAATGGAACAATGTTCCGCATTGATAACTTGAACGCGGAAGTTTGACCGACAAGAGTGTATTGTGCACTCCTGTCGGTCGCAGTGTCTCATTCTCGGACATTGCCTCTGCATGTCTCCCAGAATGGAACAATGTTCCGCATTGATAACTTGAACGCGGAAGTTTGACCGACAAGAGTGTATTGTGCACTCCTGTCGGTCGCAGTGTCTCATTCTGGGAGACATTGCCTCTGCATGTCTCCCAGAATGGAACAATGTTCCGCATTGATAACTTGAACGCGGAAGTTTGACCGACAAGAGTGTATTGTGCACTCCTGTCGGTCGCAGTGTCTCATTCTGGGAGACATTGCCTCTGCATGTCTCCCAGAATGGAACAATGTTCCGCATTGATAACTTGAACGCGGAAGTTTGACCGACAAGAGTGTATTGTGCACTCCTGTCGGTCGCAGTGTCTCATTCTGGGAGACATTGCCTCTGCATGTCTCCCAGAATGGAACAATGTTCCGCATTGATAACTTGAACGCGGAAGTTTGACCGACAAGAGTGTATTGTGCACTCCTGTCGGTCGCAGTGTCTCATTCTGGGAGACATTGCCTCTGCATGTCTCCCAGAATGGAACAATGTTCCGCATTGATAACTTGAACGCGGAAGTTTGACCGACAAGAGTGTATTGTGCACTCCTGTCGGTCGCAGTGTCTCATTCTGGGAGACATTGCCTCTGCATGTCTCCCAGAATGGAACAATGTTCCGCATTGATAACTTGAACGCGGAAGTTTGACCGACAAGAGTGCATTATCCAATCTTTTTTGTCATATACCTCAACCCACAAAGACAAAACCTTACATAAAATAGGTAAACTTTGGTTTTCACTTAATAATGTTTATTTTTAATTTTTTGTTCTTTATATAACTTTTTCTTCTACTAAACTATTTTACAGACTCTACTGAGCTATCCTCACATATATACCTGTGACAATAACACATATATACTCCCTTCATATTCTGATCTCATGACATATTACAGCACAAACTATAATTATACAACATACCTCATAAAGTCTGATTTTACCCCTATCTAAGCGTTCAAAACCTATTTTCCCGCGTAATCTGATTCTTCTGGCTCTGCTGATTCGATTTCTGCTGTCAGATCGTGAAAATATGCATCACACAATGAGATAAACACAAAATACACAACTTAATATTTTCCTTAAAATTGTCAATTCCTCGATCTTGACATATTTATTATTTCCTCCGTTTTCCCTCACAAATATATTTAATTTTCTGAATAAGACGTATAATAAAATGAATATCTTAAAAACTAAAATACAAAATTAATGTTGGGTAATGACTAGATATAGTATGCACTTTTGAATTCATACATTTTTTGAAAAAATTGTATTTTCAAAAAAAGATGTTGTTTCAGTATGAACTTGAAGAGAAATTTTAAGGAAAATATTAAGTTGTGTATTTTGTGTTTATCTCATTGTGTGATGCATATTTTCACGATCTGACAGCAGAAATCGAATCAGCAGAGCCAGAAGAATCAGATTACGCGGGAAAATAGGTTTTGAACGCTTAGATAGGGGTAAAATCAGACTTTATGAGGTATGTTGTATAATTATAGTTTGTGCTGTAATATGTCATGAGATCAGAATATGAAGGGAGTATATATGTGTTATTGTCACAGGTATATATGTGAGGATAGCTCAGTAGATTCTGTAAAATAGTTTAGTAGAAGAAAAAGTTATATAAAGAACAAAAAATTAAAAATAAACATTATTAAGTGAAAACCAAAGTTTACCTATTTTATGTAAGGTTTTGTCTTTGTGGGTTGAGGTATATGACAAAAAAGATTGGAATGCACTCTTGTCGGTCAAACTTCCGCGTTCAAGTTATCAATGCGGAACATTGTTCCATTCTGGGAGACATGCAGAGACAATGTCTCCCAGAATGAGACACTGCGACCGACAGGAGTGCACAATACACTCTTGTCGGTCAAACTTCCGCGTTCAAGTTATCAATGCGGAACATTGTTCCATTCTGGGAGACATGCAGAGGCAATGTCTCCCAGAATGAGACACTGCGACCGACAGGAGTGCACAATACACTCTTGTCGGTCAAACTTCCGCGTTCAAGTTATCAATGCGGAACATTGTTCCATTCTGGGAGACATGCAGAGGCAATGTCTCCCAGAATGAGACACTGCGACCGACAGGAGTGCACAATACACTCTTGTCGGTCAAACTTCCGCGTTCAAGTTATCAATGCGGAACAGTGTCTCATTCGAGGAGCCCTCGAAAAGAACCTCACATCGACTCTCTCTTTCCGGCATCTTTACCGCATAGAAAACTGCTCGTTCGCAACTTTGTGTGCAATCTAAGAGATGATTGCGGTAAAGATGCCGGGAAGATTGATGCTGCAGCCCCAGGCCGCACTCAGATTTCATCCCGCTACACAATTGTTCATCCAACAACTGTCATAGAGGTTGAAATTTTCGACCAGAAGTGAAACATATCATTTTTAAGACTGCGGCGCGCAAGCAAGTTTGAACCTTTCAAGGGTGATCAGTCCTTTACTCATTTCAAGACCTCTTGTTGCCTGATAAAACGATACTTCCTTCCTTGTGGGCCATTGAAAACCGCCCAAACCGTCACAACTTGCTTCCTAAATTTTATTTGCGGAGTAATTATCATGCATATTTTATCGGATAATAATATCAAAGCTAAATTTCATATTATTTTTTAAAGATATGCATTTTCTGTCTAAATTTATTTTTTCTGTTTCCAATTCACGGAATAATATTCTTACAAGCATATACATAGCTAATATATATCATTTTAATAATAATAAAACCAAAATGATGTATTCTTCATATAGTTATTTAAAATTCGTTAACTAGAATTGTATTCAGAACGAGGCAAAGTTAGGAGATACATAAAAACCAATAACTTGATAAGTGATACCTTTTTTCCTGATATATCTATATGTGTTAATGTCAAACACGATTTGGAAAAATTAATTCTTTAAATCGGCTTAAGAATAAGACCAACATCAAAAGCATGGCAAATAAATTAATAAATCAATGTTTAATTACCGATTCATGCATTTTTTTCAAAATTTCAAATTTCAAATTTTTGTTTCTCCAAAATATTAATTGTTTCCACTAGATTAACAAATAAACAATAAATTGGATTAATGTAATGCCCAATCATTCATTTTAAATTTTAGATTTAAAACAATATTTTTCTCCATATTATTATAACATGAATCGCTATGATATAAGAAATATATTTTCAATATTGAAATTGAAAAATTCTAAAATTTTTGAATTTCAATTTGAGTGTGATGATCGATAACATATATTTTTTAATTAAAATCTTGTGTCGCTATCATATAAATATACTATTTCTAAATTAAAAATAGAAAAAAGTACTATTTAATGATGAAATTGCAAATAATATCAATATATATATATATTCATGCTGATATATTTTGGGAACAGATTGGCAATCACATAAATAGGATTGTGTTAGTTTGTCATGGATATAAAACAAATTTCCGAGCTAATTGAGCGAATTTAAATCACAAACACTTATATTTTCTATTACAAGGTATATTTGTAATATACAACCAGTAAATAGCTTTCTCTAACTTTTACCAGCTTAGATGATAGCAAATTAGATACGAATTTCATGACCCCTCACCAAATTCCACTAAAACATATACAAATAAAAGTACTAAGTGGGTATCATCTAACCCTAGAATTATAGCTCCTAGAACTCATCCTAGATGGTAGTTCTGGAAAAACACCTGGTTTTTGGAGTTGCAAAAGTTAAAAATTGAGGGTAAATGCAGAACCATTTGTTGATTACACTGGACTCACAGCATTAGAAATAAATTTTCTTATAAGAGAATGATAATAATATAGTATGGGAGAGAAAAAAATATCGAATTTGATTTTATAATTTTGATAATTTATTAGATTTTATTCATGATCTGGAGCTCTATATGGTAACATTACTAGATTTATCATTTATTCTAATTGCTATATTATTGTAGAAATAAAAAGGGGGTTACACCATTTCTACCCCCATTTTTATGGGAAAACCTTGTTGAGGTGTTCTGTGTATGTTTTAACATATTGCTCGTATTGTGGGTTCTTAATTACATCATTGAAAGCTATATGTGGGAGCTCTTGAAACGCAAGCATACCCATGCAAGCTCTGAATGGATATAAAACTTCGTCTGGACCTCTTTGATTGAAGAATTGGCCTGGTTCGTGTAATGACTCATATGGTGCATTCCATGTTGAAGAAATCATAAATTTCTTATTTTGACAAAGTCCTCCACTTCCGTAGAGTTTCGTTGGATCTTTACGAGTTCTTCCATCTGATTCATAGAGAACTCCATGTCCTTCATAGAATACTTCGTCGATGTATTTCTTCACAGTCCATGGAACTTGTTGCCACCAAACAGGAATTTGCCAAATAACAACATCTGCCCAAACGAACAAGTTTAATTCTTCTTTGGTATCATAATCTTTGTCGCATTTTGTTCTCTTTACTTGATAACCTTTTTCGACCAAAATCTTTTCTGCGAGTTCAACTAAACTAGTTGAGAGTTTGCCACCTACCGAATAGAATGCTTTACCTCCATCGATAATTAATATGTTTTGCTTCTTTGTTTCCATCAGTCAGAATAGTGGGAAATGAGTTGAAAAAAAATTGAACGGGTGAATTCTTTTGAATCAAAATTTTTATAAAAGTGACATTCAAAAAGTGGCCAGAACAATAATATGAGTTCGACACTCTCCAGTATTCCATTGCTATTTGACATAGACCAGAAGCTACAATTTCATATCCAATTTTTTAAAGAATGCATTTTTAATGATTAAAATATTATATTGATTTCAGAAAACATTTTCATGATTCTGATTCAATTTTAATTAATCTGGCTATGATAATTTTATCAACAAATCTCTTTAATAAAAGGAATAATATCAATATTTCCTTCGTTAAGAGAATCTATGTGATTTTGGCACTAAGGTTTTATCAAGTAAAGACAACAAATTGTAATGCATCAACCTTATTCTAACGATTATTTAGAATCATATTTTTAAATTAGAATCATTAGAATGTAATCAATTTCATGAAAAATGATGTAATCATATAAGCATGGTGTTAAATTTTACTTACTAGAAATTCAATCAGCCTTATTAGCGATTGCGTGTGCCATGTAGTCTGTTCCGAGAATGTTGAAGTTGAGAACAGACTTCTGAGAGTAGACACGAACTCCTGTCATCCAGTCTGGTCTGATGAACTCGTAGAATTCTTCTTCGAGTTCCTTAGCGATAGACATAACGAATGCATGGTTCTTAACCTGGTTATCAAGAGAAAGAACGCAAGACTCGCAAGAAAGTGATGTAGCGATTGCCTTAGCAGCTCTAAGGTAGAAGATGTAATGTGCACGAAGAGCAGCATGGGCATCCTTCTCGCCAGCGATAGCTCTCTTGGCAACATCACCAGCATCGATCTTATCGAGTGGTAGCATTTCTCCTGTTTCCTTGTGATGGTAGAATTGATAAACAAGTTGAAGACCACGGCCAGAGCAGATATCTTCGTATTCTGGATCGAGTTTGCCTTGGTAGTAGTGGTTGGAAACGTGCTGGATGAGGTCCTGCTCGTCCTTGAAGTATTTATGCTTCTCCATATTTGGAGAAATTTGGACGTGGCCAAGTTCTGTTGGAAGAACAAGTGGTGTCTTAAGGAGTGGTGTGCGTGTAACAAGTGCAGCGCCGAGGCCAGAGCCCATAGCAAGAACTGCTGTTCTGCCCTTAGCAAGAATTGGGCCTGTTGGAGCTCTGTCTGTGAAGAGTTGAACGAAGTTCTCCTCAAGGATTGATTGTTCATGGGCGGCGATAACACCATAAGCTCCTGCTTCAAGATCATTAAGGAAGTAAGAGCGATCCTTTGGGAAAAGTCCCTTTGGAAGCTGAGAGATGGATAATGTACGTCCCTCAGCTGGTCCTTGCCAGTTTGTTAAAATAACTTGGTTATTCTTGATTGGGCCTGCGACGGCGATAGCGGCACCAAGGCAAACTGTTGTTGGTTCGACCTGCTGTATTTTGGCCTGAAGGTCCAAGAGAACCTTAAGGAGATCTGCTGTTGTCTGAGCCTTTGCGTGGCCAAGATCAACATAACGAGAAGAATCATGGAAATCAGAAAGCCTGACGCGGAGACCAGAACCGCCGACATCGCAGCCGAGGCAGATTGGAAGTGTTGTACCTGTCTTCCATTCCTTGATTTGCTGAATTGGTTCGATTGGGAACATTCCTCAAAAAAATGAACTGGATCTCTCAAATTGATACGATTTTATGCCCAATTTAATTGAATTATTAACAGATTGTAGTGTTCCTAATGGCACCAAAATTCATGATTGAAATTTTGAGAGATTTATCCAAAACATTAAGAATTCATGTGATGGGTGTTTAAACCTTATGGATTCTTCCAAAAAGTTTGTCTAGATTAATTAAATAATATCTGATAAAACTTCACTTCTTTGAAATAAATCTCTTTCAAATTTGAATAATGAGTGGCCAGTTATATAAGAGTAGGGGTAATTTTAGCTAAAAGTGACACGCCCGTGAAGGGTGTGATTACCGATCGGTAATTTCGACAGTTTAGAATTTAAAATTTTTTATGGAACTGTTGCGAGTTTCATAAAGAATTTAAGGAATATAAGCAAAGATTTGAATCAAAATTTTAGACCCAAGCCGCTCGATTCGCTCGCGGCTTCCGCGAATTACAGATCAGCAAAGATTTGAATCAAAATCTTCGAACTAAGCCGATCGCTTCGCTCGCGGCTTCCGCGAATTACAGATCAGCAAAGATTTGAATCAAAATCTTCGAACTAAGCCGATCGCTTCGCTCGCGGCTTTCTTTATTATTTTAAATTTGCATATTTCCATCAAAAGTTCATCAGGTAAAAAATTTTGTTTATTTTTACTAAGAAAAAAAAGGTTTTTGATAATAAATTTATTTTATTTCGAAAAAGTAGCAATAATCGTAAAAGGGTATTGATAGGCTTGCTAAAGTAACTAATTTTAGCTGTCAAATACTTTTGTATTTTGAAGTAAATTAGTATAAATTTGTTTTTACTTTTATTTCGAAAAAGTAGCAATAATCGTAAAAGGGTATTGATAGGCTTGCTAAAGTAACTAATTTTAGCTGTCAAATACTTTTGTATTTTGAAGTAAATTAGTATAAATTTGATATTATTTTAATTCCCTTTGAAAACCTCAATTTTCCATACAGAGGGAACGGGAATAGCATCCAATATTCCCTGAGAATGGTTGCGCATTCTCAGTTCCCTCTATATTTCGAACGAAGCTCTCATCGGTCTTTTTTTTTAATACTAAACGTTTTTTTCCCCTGTCACTTTTAGCTAAAATTTGGGTTTGCCCTCAGAAATATGATTGATTCTTTACAAATGTAAAAAAATTATCCAAAAATCAATCATTCCTCATCATCAATGCAATGAATTATATAAGTAGTATACTAATGTAATCATTAAACAATCGCAATATAACCTCAAATTCAAAGATATGGGATTTGATTTGGAAGCAATTTGGTCCATTTCTATCAGGATAAACTCACTATTTCAATTATTATCTTGGTATTAATCCCGATAGTCAGTTAATCATCATTGATGTAATTTTGGGAGTAGTTGAAAGTATTCGATAATAATATTTTAAATTTAGCGTGATGTTGACAGTCAAGTATTTCCCTCATTTAGAAGCCATTATTTTTATATACGTTTGCAAAATAATAAATGGAGGTTTGTCGTTTAACAAGGAGTCCAACAAGCAAATCAAAGGTTGAAATACTCTATGATCTCCGAAAGATACGTGATTGTAATCAAGCTGAATTCTTTTGCGCAAGATTAAATTTTTTGATTCAGAATCAGAAATTATTTGCAAAACACTGTATTAAATTCGATCATAATATGATCTATGATACTACTATTAGAGCCAAAAATATAGGAACTGTTTACAAAACATTAAAAATCATACAAGATTCAACAACAGAGTCATTAAATGATAGATTATTAAAAGAATCAATAAATAAGTTCGATATAATGCATAATCTTACATTCATACTATCGAGAATTCAAATTCTTCACCAATCTAATATTCCATATGGATTTATTAATGAATTATATATCACAAATGATTTCAAACTACAACCACTACCTCTTTTATATGATATTCCTGCCATATTCATCAATTCATCAAGAATGGAATTATTATCAGTTCCAAAGCAGAGTTTTTCGCTATCACATGATGTATTTGACTTAGGAAAGCTAATTTACACACTTTCAAAACAAGGCAAAGTAATCTATAATAATATCGAAGATAATCTAATTTCTGGAACACCATTTCTAATTAAAGAACTAATGAACAAAGATGAACGTCAGAGACCAAAGCTCGATGATGAATTAGTTCGTAGAATTTTATATTATTTTGAAAACAGATGAAATTACTAGTTTCTACAAAACATTTTATAGACCTTTATAAATGATTATTAATAGTTCTCATATTAGTTTTGAAAACAAAAAATTTTGAAAAAGAAATCTAATTATCTATATAATTAGTTTAATGTAAAGGATAAGATTTAATGGAATGGGCAATCTGTAAGATTTGGAGCAACAACATTACCATAGTCAGTATAGATGTTTTCGCCCTTGTATGTAGCTTCACCATTACGGTTAACTCTGAGTTCTGGAAGCATCTTATTCCAGTGCTTGTTTCTAGGATCAACTTCTTCAACTTCATTATCAGCATCTGTGAAAGATCCGAAATAAATTCTATCACCTGGCTGGTCATCCATTGGTGGTTCGAGGAGTTCGACGTGGTTATCATCTGTAGCGCAGCCAAGAAGAATACCTTCCGAAATTTCGTCGAAAAGTTCACCTGGTTGGCAGTTAGCGAAAACGCAGACGAGCTTATCAACAAGGTCATCAATGCTGTAGAATTTCTTTGCGGCAGAAACGACGTGCTTGACCTCGTCGTTGCCCATATCAACTTCTAATGAGTATAACTTAGAAGAGCCTTCGATGCTCTTGCAGGAAACAATCTTGCCAACACGGCAGTCGATGAATGTTGCTGGATCTGGCTGTGATGCTGCCATTGAAATTTAATAAAAGTGACATTTAGTCCTTTTTGTCACTTTTTATCGCAATACTTATACCATATTTTTCATGATAAAAACCTTTTATATAACATTTAAAACATTTTTCGTTGTCATTTTTAGACTAAAAATTGAATCTCTCTGTCAAATTAAACTTTTTTCTGATTAGAATGCGTTAAACTGGTCATTGATTATACCATATCAAAGTACCATCAGAATTTTGCTCCAGGAAGTTCAATTCAATTCATTTTTTCTAATGCGGAATAACCAGAAATTTCGTTGGTGGTTATCAATACTATCAACATACATTGCAGTACTAATGATTGCAGGTATATTCTACATTCCATATACCTTGAAACACGTTCAAAAAACTTTTTCATTCAAAAGTAATAATGCAACAAAGCCTTTTAATAGAAATGATGAGCCTTCATTGATGCTCCGATATACGGATATTCATGTGGACCATGTAAATGAGAAGAACAACGAGCAGTTTACCAATGCAGTTAATTTTGGTCTTAATCTGAAGCCAGCTATGTATCTTTTCACAGGTGATCTAACTAATAATTTTCCATACAATAATTATCCAAAATATGGAAGCCAACAGCCAAAAGATTGGGAAATTTACAGAAATATTACACAAAACATACAAAGAGAACAGCTTTTTGAAATCGCAGGTAACCATGACGAATTTGGAGTCTTCGAGTTTACTTCTCAAAGTCACAATTTCATTAAATCAATAAAAGAAAACATTTCAAACTACGAAGATTTCCAAATTCAAAAACGAGTCATTACAAGCAATGGCGGATACAATATATCAATTATTGGACTCAACCCATTCATATATCCTTCAGCGCACCCTCCATTTGTTTATTGGCCACGTCCAACAAAAGAATTACTTAATAATCTAGAAAAAGTTCTCAAAGAAATACCAGAAAACGATGAAGTTATCGTTATGAACCATTATCCACTCAAATTATTCATGTCAACTGTCAAATCTTCATCAGGAAAAACTTTCAAAGAAATATTAACAAAAGGAAAGGTCAATTACTTCTTAACAGGTCATTTACACCCAACTGAACCTAAAATCATGCATCACTCTGACATGCTAGAGATTATTGGCATGGATTTAAAGGATCATCAACATATCGGATGTATTTCATATGACAACAGACGATTTATTTATCATAAAGTTAACATATCCAATCTACCTAAAGCGTTCATAACGAATCCAGTGCCAGATTCGATGCTAACTCACCATCAAATTTTTAATGAAGTCGGAACACCGATTAGAATCATTTCTTTCCATAGTGTCATGCCAACAATAAAACTTTCCGGCAATATTAGCGGTGTAATGGACTGCAAAGTCATTTCTGGCCAAAAATATCTTTGTGAATCACAAGAAATTGTAGAACCAGGCACATATCATGTCAAATTTGAGGGAGATTTCGAAGATTCAATAGATTTCACCATTGGAAACTCTTCTCAGTCTTATTATGAAAATGATTATAGACATGTATTAGATTTCCATGAGAATTATCCATTCCAATTTGCTTTACTTATGATTGTATTCCTATTTATCCTATTTCCGCTTCCGCAATCCCAGTTTTCCCATACAATTATCAGTCATCTCCAAGGCCAAGAGTCAGCTGTCACAATCCATACCTACATCATTCTTCTTTTATTCGGAGGAATGCTTTACATCAGGTTTAGAATCCAAAGACTCCCTCTTTACGTCAAAATTATTTTATTGATTGGTTTCATTTATCCCATTTTACTTCCAATGGCTTTCATGGAGATAGAAACCCACTTTGGCTTCATTTGGACATGGGGATACTTCTGTGGAGGCAAATTTGTTTATTGTCCTTGGGGATTATTCAATTGCATGGCCTATTATGTCTCTGTTCTTGCTCCTGTTGTATTAATTGCTGCTTCCCTCAGCCTCTCCTATCCTTTCTCTTTCTATTCTTTCATTCCTGTTTTGTTTGACATTGCTGTCTCTGCATTTCTCTTATTTGTCGATATCAAATACGTTATAAGGTTCATTTATGAGACCGTTGGATTCGTTTTCGCTCCAACTTCCCCTGTTTTCGTGTTTTTACCAATATTACTTTACGGAATTCTCATAATTTGGAGACTTATTTGCGCATTCAAGAGAGAATCAACAGGAATATCTACAACAAAGGAATCTTTATTCCTTTCCACATGAATTATCTTGTAAATAAAAAGTTTAATGTTTTTTTTTACTTTGCTGATATTATATTAATGTTTTTTGACACAAATTGTCTTAGATAGGCATCAACTTATGCATGTCATTGCAAGTGTATTAGTTATTTCAGAATGATTCCTAATATTAAAATGTAATTGTAGTAAATAACATTTTAGTTAAGTCCTATTTAAGGATGACGTATCAGAAAGACGTAAGTTCTGCCTTAATGGTGCACTTACCCCCATATACTATCCTCTCAATCAGTAGATAAGTTATGCCATAGTATACATATATATTAAAAAAAAAACTTATCGTCTTCTTTCTATTCCTAGGAAATTGACTTCGCAAGATGATGAGTGTCAAGAATTGACTTCACAAGATGAGAGTCTGATGGACATAAGGACACTTTTGATATTCTCTAAAGCAATATTTAACTTTTATATCTTTGAAACTGAACAAAAGAAAGTGGATAGTGATTCTTAGCTTAATTATTTTAAATTAGAAAGCTGCTAGCTGTAATATATTATTGAAAAATAATAATTAAAGTTTTTTATTACTTGAAAAAAAAAGTTGTTTATGGAGCAACTTCATCTTCTGCTGCTTTCATTAGCAGTTTGGTAAGAGGTAAGAGGATGAAAATGAAAATAGCAGCAATTAACAAAACTGCAATAACTACTGATCCAGCAATAAGTCCAACTTCCGGTTTTGTCAAACCGATAACATGTCTTTCTTCATCATACTCATAATCGCAATCGTAATCTAGGAGTTGTCCTCCAGCATCACGATAAATGTATTTCTTTGTTGTTTTCATATAATATGTATTGAAAAAGTTTTGATAGTATTTGCCTTTATAGCAAAGTGGTGTTCCGTACATATTTGGATTTGGTTGTTGTTTAAGGAACTTTTTAACTGTTTCAGGAATCTTCAAAATTATACCTTGGTATTTATCATTTATGAGATCTTTTCTATCTGCATCTTGATAGATTAAAACCTTTGAAGATGTTATAGAATTTTCGTTAATGAATTCAACATCTTTTGGAACTGAATATGTCTTTCCAATGTCACCAAATGTTGCTAGCAATGTATTTGTTTGTTTATCTATGATGGCATGATCTTTTGTATAGTAGAATGGATTCTGTTCATCAATTTTAACATCAATATAACCAAAGTCCTGAGTCCATTTGAAATTGTTTACTTGAAACTGTGCTGGCAAATAAAATGTAATATTAATGATATTTCTGTCAAAACGATCATTATTAGCTTTAAACCAGTTTGGATTAATTGTAGAAACCCCTGATCCAAAGTGGAATTCTTTCAAATTGTTACAAAATAGGAAAGCAGAATCACCTATGGAAGTAATTGAATCTGGAACTGTAAATGTCTCAAGCCCGGAACCATAAAACATATATTCAGTTATTTTTGTTTGGAGGGGATGAAATTCTACTTTTTTAAGGGATGTGCAACGAGAGAAGAGATGATTACCACCTTCTGTAAATAAAGGTACCTTTATTTCCTTTAAGCTTGTGCAACCATCGAAGACACTAGATCCTAAAACACAAATTTCTGGTAATGTGACATTTTCGAGCTTTTCGCAATTACGGAATGCCCAATCTCCTATTAATGTGACTGCTTTTTCAATTTTAAGAGTCGTGAGATTTATACTATTTTGACAGAATGATGCAGAAACATTAAATGGATCTGAATAATTGTCAATACTAATAACCAATTCTTTAACATGTCTGCATGCATCTAATCGATTTCGCATTTTTTTATCTACTATGATTTTCTCGACTTTTTCTGCAAAATAAAATGCACCATTATATGCGCCTGCATATTGCCCAGGTATGGTGAATGTTGTTTCGCTGTATGATTGAAGAACAGCATTCACATATGTTTTATTTTCCTCATCACCTATTTCTAATTTTGTTACAAGTCCATTTCTTTCCTGAATGATTTCATTTCCAGGTTCAAATTCAAATTTAACTTTGTCACAATATGGAAATGCTAATGGATTGAAGTAAATTGCATCTTTAAGAATTGTGACTTTTTCCAAATTCGAACAGTTATAGAAAGCATCATTATCTATTCGCATAAATGGCCCTCCATAAGTAAATGATTTGATTTGTGAATGACTAAATGCATAACTATTTATTGTTGAATTAGTTAGTTTCAAGTTTTCTATTGGGCCTGTGTGTTCAAGACAATACATATAAATTGTAACTCTATCAATGTATTCGAATTTAATATTTGTCAAGTTTGTGCAACCGGTGAAGCAAGATTTATCGAGTCTCATGGACCATATGATGTTATTAATAACAACTGATTGCAGTTTTGTACAATTTGCAAAGCAGCTTTCAGGAATTGACTTGATTTCTTCGCCTAATTCGACAGATGTTAAATTATAGCAGCAATAGAATTCGTAATTATTGAGTGTTGTGTTAATGTATAGTGATGTAATTGAATCGCATCCACAAAATGCATGAGAATAAACGCTTGTAATATTGTAGTTAGAGATCTTAACTTTTTTACAATAAAGAAATGCATATGCGTATACTTCTTTTGTATTTCCATCGATTGTTAATGATAGATTATAGCAGTATGCAAATGCTGACCCTTCAATTTCAGTAAGTGGTTGATCTGTTTCTAAAGATTCAAGTGATGTGCAACCATAGAAAGCCCTTTGATGAACCATTGTTGCATTTTTGGCGATAACTCTCTTTAGTGATTTACAATTTTCGAAAATACCTGTTGGAATATATTTATCAGTACCTAATATATACAAAGTTGCCTCTTCAAGCAATGGACATCTTGCAAAAGCATAAGAATTTCCATAACTATAAGTAAGTTCAACCTTCTTAAATTGAGTTCCTTCTAATGCATACTTTCCGATAGTTCCTTGATCCCTTACTTCGTATTTTTCGAGTGGTGTGTAAGCAAATGCACGTTCTCCAGTTCTGAAAAACGATGCTTGTTTGATTCCTGAATAAGCAAATGCGTAATTATCTATATATCCAGTGTTTGTTTCAGATGAATCCTTGATTAATTTATCGAAATTAAATGATGCCAAAGAAGAATAGTATGTAAATGCAAACTTTCCTATTTGGCCAATGTCATTTTCAAAGTTGATTTCTTTTAATGATGTACAACGATATGCAAAGTAGTCTGGTATAATGCTTGCATTAATAGTCAGTTTCTCAATGTTTGCGCATCCATAAAAGCAATTTGGTTTGAATGTTGTTACTAAATTTAAATTTTCAATAACTTGAATTGATGAATTTGCGAAAGCACTATCTCCGATCTCGGTGACCGTAGTAGGAAGTGTAACTTGAATAATGTTTGTTAAACCCGAAAACCATTTGGCCGGGATAACTTGAATTTTAGTATTAAGAACAATATATTGGAAATACTCTAACATTTTGGTTTCGCTTCTAAGAGGAAGATCAACATCTTCACTATTGATGACTAATTTTTGACGAAATTGTTCTAATATTGTTAAATCTTGAACATCTGTAACTGTTACTGCATCACTACTATATGTAATCTCTGAGTTAATGGCAATTCTTTTGCATAGTAGTGACTGGATTATCAAGCTTTGAAACATATTCGAAAAAATAAGCGATATGAAATTTGTGAATCGATATAAAATTCAATAGTATATCGTTTTTGTCGAAACTGATCGATTTATAGTAAATATGTATATAAAATGGAAATAATGGTTTTCGAAATTTATGGATAAAAAGGTGATAGTTCTAAATGTTTAGTAAATTACACTGTTTATAAAATTTAATACTTTATTCGATTTCATTTTATTATCGTTTTTAATTTTGTAGAAATTACGATCGAATGATGTTCTTAAAAAGTTCAAAACCGCTATCTCCTCTCAATAATAACTCATGAGAAAATCTCAAGAAAAAGTGTTTTAAAACATATGATTGAAACAATTTCCTAAGTAGGGACAAATTTGCAAATTTCTTCTATTTTGAATATAATTTCATAACGAACACTTCTCAAAATTCTGCGATGAGCTATTTCCTAGATAATATGGTTATTCACAATATACAGCATCCAAATTTAATAAAATTAGCAAAGCCATTTTTGAGAGGGCGCCGTTGGGAAAGTTTAGCATAGGTCCAATTTATGCTATTATGAAATAAAAACAGAAAAAAATATTTTATAATGGGTTGAATGTTATATCGTTTTATAGTTTTGCTTTTTCTGAGTATAAAAAAATGAATTTTAAAAATGTAGAATTATTGAATGTTATTTACACTTATTAAAAAAATTCTGATTTATCGTTTTTTATTATTTTCAATGTTGCGTTTTGGGGTTTTTTTTGCTTTATTAACAAAGCAAAACTATTTAGACTCTGAGCCTATAATAGATGGAGATACGATTACCATCACCGAAAATCCAAATATTAAAGATTTAGCCACTTTGATTTATTCAAATCAGCTCAAAACACTAATTATTCAACTTAAATATAATGACATACAGGTATATGGTACAAACATTATAGTTCAAGGACCTGCTACGGCTATTCCCGATAACTTTATGAACGGTAATACTTTTATTAAAACTGTTGATCTATCGGAGAATATTACTAGATTAGGATCTAATTGCTTTTCTGGCTCTTCATTAGAATCTATCACAATTCGCGGTAGAATCCCAATGTTGCGAGGAGACTCTCAATTTATGAACTGTTACGCATTGAAAGAGCTGTCTATTGATTGTGGATATATTTCCGAAAATTTTGCCGCTAACTGTATTAACCTAACAACTGTTAAGCTCTTATTCAATACAACAATACTGATTGATCAAAATGCATTTTCAGGGTGCTATTCATTATCTTCAATTGATTTTTCAAACATTGCATCAATTGGTTCAAAAGCATTTTATCGAACAAATATAACTTCTCTTAAATTCCAAACCCAAGGTATTTCAATCGACGCAGAAGCCTTTGAGTACTCTAGAGTCCAAACAATTGATTTTGGCCAAAGTATTGCATACTTAGGTCAAAAATGTTTCCTTGGTACCCCACTTAAATCTGTCAAGTTAATGTCCGTTGGACAAATTGGATCATATGCCTTCTCCCAATGCACATTATTGGAGTCAATAGAAGTAAATTATACATATATCCCTGATTCTTTTGCAAGCTACTGCACTTCTTTAACAACTGTCATTGCAAAGAGAGCTAAAATGATTGGAAGTAGTGCATTCTACAACTGCAAATCACTCAAATTAATTGAATTAAGCACAAATACAGATGAATTTGATACAATTACTTTTGGCTCCAATTCATTTATGTACTGTGAGAATCTAGAATACACATTTTCATCACCAATGATATATATATTCGGCGATTATGCATTTTCTTACTGTGATAAGATCTCTCTTGGAACAATAATTACAAATTCATCAATTGGAGCTTATTCATTTCTCGGTTGTCAAAATATTGAATCTGTCACAATTCAATGCCCGATTGGACAAGCATGTTTTATGGGTTGTGAAAATCTAGAATCAGTTAAATATGAATATACAACCGAGACTTCAACTAATGAAATCCCTGATTACAGCTTCTGCAATTGTTCAAGCCTTAAAGAATTTGAAGGAAATGATAATATAACAAGAGTCGGAGAATATGCATTCGCATGTACAAAAATTAAAAATGTAGTACTAAGAAGAGCCATATTGGATACTAATGCTTTTGCTGAATCAAAATTGGAAACAATTAATTTCAACTTCGCGTCATCTTATAGCTTTCCATTTTTTGGGTGTTCAAAACTAGAAAAGATAACAATCAGTAAATATACTACCTCTTCAAATGTTTTTTATAATTTATTTGTATATTCCTATGAAGATTATTCCGGAGTATCAATAAGAAAAAATAGTAAAGTTAAAAACTTTAAGCTTGAGTTTGAAATTGAATCAGGAAATGAATATTATACAATCAAAGATGATCTTCTGCTCTACAATAGTACAGAGATAAAACTTGTTCTTCCAGATTATAGCGAAAGTGAATTCCAAATTCCAAGTTATGTAACTGACATTCATCGCTTTGCATTTGCCTCAAATAATAAAATCAAGAAGTTAATTTTTAATAGAGATTTGGAATTTGTTTCAAGTCACATATTCTCATGCTCTGATTCTATCAAAGAATTAGAAATTAGCTTTGATGGGGGTGAAAACCATACCCTAATGTCATCTTTCACTTACTTTGGCAAATTGAAATATATCACAATTAAAACTAATATAAATAAAATCCCTAGTTCGGGTTTTGCAAATAACCCACTTCTCAAAGAAGTCATTCTCCCAAGTTCCTGTACTGAAGTGGGTTACTATGGATTCATATATTGTCCAAAATTATATAAAATCAACTTAGACAAAGTAACTAAATTTGGTGAGGGTTGTTTCAGGTTTACAGGTTTTGAAAGCTTTGATTTCTCAAAATTTGGAGAAGAAATAACAATTCCTGATTAATTCCTATTTGGATGTGAAGACCTTGAGGAGATTACAGGTACATCTGGTATTAAAACAATTCCTGAAGAAGCTTTCCGTTCTTGCACTTCGCTCAAAAAGGTAAGTTTTCCAAATGTGAGAACAATAATGCAAAGTGCTTTTTCAGGTTGCGAATCTTTAAAGTCAATTGAAGTACCACAATTAGAATATATTTACCAATATGCATTTAAGGGCTGCTCCAAACTTAAGAGTTTCGATTTTAGTAAAGTTTATTGGATTGGTAGTAATGCATTTTATGAATGTAAATCATTAACATCAATATCCATTACAAATACAACCACGATTTCGGAAGAAGCCTTTGCTTATTGCAGTTCGCTTAAATCAGTTGATCTCAGTGGATTAAAAGCTATTCCTGATAATATTTTTGGCTACTGTTCCAATCTCAAAGAGATTAAATTCAATCCATCAACATTATCAATTGGAGAAAAAACATTCCATTCATGTGGTTTCAAGGAGTTAACAATTCCTGATTCCATTTTGTATATTGGAGAATACGCTTTCTACAATAATACTAAGCTGAAAAAAGTTACACTCGGTAAGGGCTTAGGTAAATTTGAACATAACTGGTTTGATAGATCCTCAATCAAAACAATTGTTATTCCATCGTCAATCAAGGACATTCATCAAGATGCCTTCCAATATCTTGATAATGTAAAGATTGAGTTTTCGGAAGACAATGTAGCATACAGAGTTGAAGATCAAGCACTTATTGCAAACGTAAATGATTCTTTAATTGTAACACTTGGTATATTAAGTAAGGTTTACACTGTTCCAAAATCAGTCAAGATTATTACTGCTAATTCAATTCGTAATGAACATTCGGCAGATTTAATGGAATTATCTGGTAGTGGACCATCTCTAAAATATCCAAGAGATCAAAATGGAGGAATTGCTGGTTCCGCAATTCTAAAGATTCCTCAAGGTGATATTATATCCATGCAACAACCTACTAGGTACTTCTTAAGAATTTGCTATAAAGATGACAAACGGACTGACATTGAGAATGATTACCTCCCTACTTATAGTGTTCTTGACGCTAGATATGCCACTGAAAATTATCATTATGATACTTTGATTAGCTCCAAATATTTTTCAACAGGGGAATGTTCTGAAAAATTAACTGATGATTACAAATGGCGGCATATTGAAGGCCTAAGTAGTCCAGAAATCGGTTTAATTGCTTTCATAGCTGTGGCAGGTGTAATATTAATCGTCCTAATTGTATTATACCTTCTTCCATTATGCAAGCACGACGTATGATCCACAACAATTAAGTAAAAAATGAAATTTTTTACTAATCAAATTTTTTTAATTGATAATCTTTCATCATTAACACATATTTAATATTTTTCTACAGTTCTTATATTATATTACGATTTATCCTTCAATACCCAGATATAATATTAGCTCGAAAGGATTGAATTTTTTTTACTGTGAAAAAGTCTTCGCAGTTTATTGAGTGTAAAAAATTGAGAGGAGTTAAGGGTGCACTTACGCCCCTATGACATGGCCTTCAATTCAGATGTTTAAGGTTAATTTTTAATGATGCTTCACGCCAGTAGTCAAAAATTTGAATCAAAGTCAGATGGGCGTGAGTGCAGCCTTCAATCGATATATAAGCAGTTTTGTGTTGAATCAATCAAATATGAATGTAATAGAAATCATTTAAAAATCTTATTCCTCTTTGTTACCATAAGTTTTTAATGCTTTTTTGATTCCTCACTTCAATTAATATGAACATCTGCAGTTTCTTAATTATTTTGTTCAATTCTGTGATATTGGAATTATGATATTCTTGTGTATCTTATTTATATAAAATCCGTAAAAAATATCTATTGATAAATAAAATATTTTTTTTTACTCAGCAAATCCCTTTATGGGGCAATATCATTTTCTGCAGCCTTCATGATAAGTTTTGTAAGAGGCAAGAATATATAGAGGAAAATGACTGTAAGCAATACAATTCCAACAATAACTGCTCCTATAATAAGTCCGATTTCCATTTTTGTAAGACCGATTACGTGTCTTACTTCTTTAACATCTTCATTGTCGCATTTCATATTCCTCATCCTATCAGTCTGTCCAATTTTAGGATAAATATATTTCTTTGTGATTGCAAAATCACTTGTCTGGAACGAATTCTGATAGTACCTTCCTTTATAACAATAAACTGTATCATAATATGGATTTGTCTTTTGACTATTCACGACTTTAACTGTATCAGGAATCTTCAAAATTGTTCCTTGATATTTATCATTTTCGAACAATGTCGAATCTGCATCTATATAATGTGTGAATTGTGAAGTGAATATACTATTTGCATCCATGTATTCGACTTCTTTAGGAATGGAATATTTCTTTCCAATATTACCAAATGTCGCTAGCAATGTATTCGTTTGTTTATTGATGATAGCGTGATCCTTGGTGTAATAGTATGGATTTGTTTCATCAATTTTTACATCAATATTTCCAAAATACTTAATCCATGAAAAATCATCCAAACGAAGTCCACCCGGAATATAGAAAGTTATATTAATTGCATAACTTGCAACTTGATATAGATTTTCATTTTCACTGCCAGGTTGTGGAACTACAATTTCATTAGTGCTTGGATCGATATAGGCATAACTTACAAACCATGTTGGATCAATAGATGTAATTCCCATTCCAAAGTGGAATTCTTCTAATTTTTCACATAAACTAAATGCATTTTCTTCAATGGAAACAATTGAATCTGGAACAGTAAATGTCTTAAAAGCAGTTTTTTTGAACATACCAGATTTTATAACTGTTTGGCGTGGATGGAATTCAACTTTTTTGAGAGATGTGCAAAAATAGAACATTTACTCTCCCGATGGTCGTTTTTGAATATCCACTGTTGGTGTATATACTGTAATTAACTTGTCAGTAAATAATGGGATCTTTATCTCCTCTAAATCTGTGCAGAGAGCGAAAACATTCTGGCCAAAGGAAATACTTTCAGGTAAGGTAACTTCTTTAAGCTTTGTGCAATTATTAAATGCTTGGTCATCGATGAATGGTACAGCCTTTTCTATTGTGAGTTTTTTAAGTTTAGCATTACTATCGCAGAAATTTTGGTCAATAATAAATGGATCTGAATAGTTGCTGATACTGATTGTCAATTCTTTAAGGTATCTACTATTCTGTAAATTGCCAAGTATTGGTTTAGTTATTTCAATCTTCTCAACCTTTTCTGCAAAGTAAAATGCTCCTGGAAGAATGCTATCATATGAATCAGATAATGAAAATGTTTTCTCATTGTATGATGGAAGAACTGCAACCAATATTGTCATATTTTTGCTAACACCTTCAACATGACATGTAACAATTCCATTACTTTCATTAATTATTTCGTTTCCAGATTCAAACTCGAACTTTACTTTATCGCAATTCATGAATGCAAGTACATTAAAACCAAAGGCATCTTTTTGAATAACAACTTTCTCTAACTTTGTACATTCTTCAAAGGATCCATCTGCAATGGCTGTTGTTGCTCCACCTATTGTCAATGATTTAATAGGGCATCTATAAAAATCTTTAATATCAGTTGATGTGTTGATGAGTTTCAAACTTTCAATTTTTGTGTCAGCGAAGCAATATCCTCCAAGTTGACCCATCATAATGTTATCAAATCCGATTGAGCTCAAGCTTGTGCAACTCTCAAAACAAGACAATCCAATTTGGAGTCTAGAAACCTTTGGAAATTGAACGGATGTCAATTTTGTGCAATTTGCAAAGCAATATCTTGGTATTGTATTGATATTTTCATGAAGTTTAATAGATGTTAACTGTTGGCATGAATAGAACTCATATTCTCCAAGAGATCTATTGATATCAAGTGTTGATATTGCCTGGCTTCCGATGAATATATATTTTCCAGCATCTGTAAAGTTATAAGTGTTAATTTTGATATTTTGGCAGTAAGCGAATGCGTAATCACCAACTTTTAATAATGTTCCATAGATTGTGAACTTAAGATTTGTGCAATATGCGAAAGCATATTGTTCAATCTCATCAATATCAGGTGTAGAAAGAGTTTCGAGTGCCGTGCATGCCATGAATGCATATTGATAAACTTTTGATGTTCCATTTGATGTAAATTTCTTCAAAGATTTGCAATTTTGGAACATTCCTTCTGGAATATGTACTTCTGATGTAAGTGGATATGGATATTCATATATGTTTATAGTGGCTTCTTCAAGTTTTGGCATGTTTGCAAATGCAAACCTATTATCAATAGCATTTTTAATTGTTATATCAATTTTCGTTACTGGTGTTCCTTCAAATGCAAATTCACCAATTGTTCCCCAATCTCGGAGTTCTATTGTTTCTACATTTGAATAGGCGAAAGCGCGTTCTCGACAGTGGTAGAAAGATGCCTTTTCAAGACCTGAAAAAGCAAATGCATATTCGTTAACAAGACCAGAAGGTGTTCCTAAATGAACATTCTGTATAAGTTTTTCGAAATGGAAGGAAGTCAGCCGGGAACAGTAGGCAAATGCATTTTTACCGATAGTGTAAATGTCTCTTTCTAATCCTACTGTTTGTAATGCCCCTCAAGTTGGAATCTTTAATAATGCATTTGAATCATGCAAATCATTAAAATCCATAGCAATTACAAACTTCACAGGAATTGCTGAAGATGCATTCAGTTATTGCACTTCTCTTGAATCAGTTGATCTCACTGGAATTCCTATTGTTCCTGATAAAGTATTCAGATTTTGCACTAATCTCAAAACTGTTAAATTCAATGATTTCGTATCATCAATTGGAAAAGAAACATTCCATTCATGTGGCTTCCAGGAAATAGTTATTCCTAATTCTGTTTTATATATTGGTCAATTTGCTTTCTACAACAACACTAAACTCACCAAAGCTACACTCGGAGAAAATCTTTGTAACTTTGATAAAGAATGATTTGATAAGTCTTCAATTAATACAATTGTTATTCCACCGAAAATCAGGAACATCTCTAAAGATGCTTTCACACACCTTGATAATGTAAAGATTGAGTTTTCTTCTGCCAATCCAGTCTACAGATTTGAAGATCAAGCACTTGTCTCTGAAACTAATGATACTTTAATTGTAACAGTTGGAATGTTAGGTAACGTATACACTGTTCCGAAATCAGTTAAATATATTGAAAGTGACTCAATTCGTAATGTTTATGCAGCAGATTTAGCTGAAATTAATGCTTTGGATGATGGTACTACTGAAAAGAAGCCAAGAGATCAAAAGGGAGGCATTGCTGGATCCGCAATTCTCAAGATTCCTAAAGGAGACTTCATTTACATGTCGCCACAAGCTGAGCGATATTTCCTACGATTTTGCTATGATAATGACAAATATTTAAGAACCAATGATCAAAATGTTAAAACTTATGATACTTCGTATTATGCAACTGATGATTATCACTATGAATTTATCCTTCAAGGCTCAAAATATACAATAGAAGATTGCTCTGAAAAATTAACAGATCTATACAAATGGCGGCATGTTGAAGGATTCAGTAAAGCAGAAATCGGTTTAATAGCTTTCATAGCTGCGGCAGGTTTAATTATAATCATCCTGCTTATATTATACCTCCTCCCATTATGCAAACACGCAGCATGAGCCAAAACAATTAAGTAAAAAAATTAATTTTAATTTTTTTCTTAAATTAACTTTTTTAAACAACTTCCTAGTTACTTATTAATCAAATCAAATAATAATGATCATTTGATTCGATTTTAATATAAAATAAAAATTAGAACAAATTTATCTCAAAATAAATTAACCATGCTTAGGCTATCTATGTTAGAACAGTTAGCTTGTATGTTTAAAACTTGAATGTAGTTGAAAATACATGAAATAAAAAAAATTAAATTGCAATTCTCAGTTTCAATTGTGCTTTGGTAAATTTCGCTTGTTTTAGATTTATTGTACTACTAAATTAATAGCCGAAATAGTTTTTTGGTACGAAAATAATCTGAACAATCAAAAAGCAAAATGTGTAGATAACTCTCTTAAACATTTGCGTAAATTGCCTGACTTTATCATATCTTTCATATCTGCCTCTTACGTCTATTGGATGAAATTCAATCCGATATGATTGATTTGATGAGTTATCAATTTTAAATGTTCAAATTAATCAGGGACACGTATTTCACCTTGTTTCAAATATAGCACGAGCTGAATTTAGAGAGCGGCATTTTTTTCATTGGTTTTGAATTCAACAAAATTTAAGGGTGCACCCGCATGTACGTTTATTTGAGAGGAGGAGGATTAAATTTTTGAAAGCACTAAAATTTGTAAATATGCTAGTTATATAATAATATGCATTATTTTAAAAAATAAAAATTAAAGCACGTTAAAATCTTTTTGATGAATTTTTACAAAAGCTACTCAGGATAATGCAAGATATGAGTAGTTATGTAATAAACAGAAATTCATCAAAAGTGACAGCTCTCAATTTTTTGACATTTGTAAATTCTAAATTGAATGAGAAAAATGAAATAATACTAAGCATAATACAATATTCTAGATTTAATTATAATTAGGAAAAGTTAGTTTTGTGAGTACTTTTCATAGGCATATAGAATGAAATCTTCTGAAAAATAATATCACATAAACTCATATTATTTTCTAATATATAACTATTTTATATAAAATCAAATTCAATGATCTTAAAAGCGAAGGATAAACCTCAAAAATTACGAATATAATGAGTGGGAATATAATGCTTATCTATCATAAAACCATATGAAATATCAATTTTTGCTTTACGCCTAATTTTTGACGACAATTAGCAAAAAATGTTAAATGTTAACACTCAGTCCATTTGAATATAAAAAATAAAATTGACTTTGATTAAATGTTTTTATTTATCATGCAATTCTTCTTGCGACCAAAGAGTTGAATAAAAGTTCAAAAAATAAGATAGCTTAAAAAATAATATACGGTAGTGTTTACTAATAGATGAATAGTATATAAATTCTATTAAAATGGATTTGATCCAAAAAAATATAAAACCAAAAATAATTGTTATAATTTAAATGAAGAAGTAATTTAAAACGATTTTATTTATGATCAAATTTTATATATTTTTTTGGATCAAATCCATTTTAATAGAATTTATATACTATTCATCTATTAGTAAACACTACCGTATATTATTTTTTAAGCTATCTTATTTTTTGAAGTTTTATTCAAATCTTTGGTCGCAAGAAGAATTGCATGATAAATAAAAACATTTAATCAAAGTCAATTTTATTTTTCATATTCAAATGGACTGAGTGTTAACATTTAACATTTTTTGCTAATTGTCGTCAAAAATTAGGCGTAAAGCAAAAATTGATATTTCATATGGTTTTATGATAGATAAGCATTATATTCCCACTCATTATATTCGTAAATTTTGAGGTTTATCCTTCGCTTTTAAGATCATTGAATTTGATTTTTATATAAAATAGTTATATATTAGAAAATAATATGAGTTTATGTGATATTATTTTTCAGAAGATTTTGTGTTCTTCTTCAAAATTTTATTTTTTATTAAAAAGAATCTTTACAAAATATACATTTACTTTAATTAATATTTAAAAACGTGCTCTATCAAAAGTTCCAAAAATTCAATATTTTAGCTTTTCTGAGGTGTCACTTTTGATGAATTTCTGTTTACAACAGTTAAACATAAATTTCAAATCAGATTTTACTTATAATAAATATTTTAAATTTCCGAAAATTAAGTTCAGATCGACTCTATACGTAGTAAATACTAAATAAGGTGCCAAAAACCTATTAAACAGTATCAAAACTATCAAGATTGTAATGTTTTTGAAGAAAAATTTATAGAATTATGGACTTCAAACAGATATTATGTAAATAAAAATAATATAATGAATTTATTTATTCGTATAATAGCAGTAATAAGTCGATTATTCACTTCTACTTCTGAGATTTGAATTTAATTTCGACAGAAAAAGAGATTCAAGAGGAAAATACTAGGGGATACAAACAGCCACCATGACAGGATTATTATGGAGCCAAGTTGTATTTTTTGATATTTTTAGAGTTTTTCTACCTATTTAGGTACCAAGTTATTGCTTAAAAATTAAGGTTCTAAATTCTGAAGTTTACATGATACTCCCGGGCGCACCCTTAAGAAAAAAAATTAATAAACATTTAATGTATTTCATACATATCTGAAGAATAAGCAGTCCAGAAATTCTACAAATTGAAAACACTGATAAATCTTTTGAATATGAAAATGTAAAAACTTTTCTCAGAGTAAGATACTATTGAATATTAAAATCGAAAATTTTGGATGTAAAAATTTGACCACTGTAAATTTCAAATCAACTTTTACAGTTTCTGAAAGCTCATACAAATTGATCGGAGTTTTGTTAATATAAAAGTCAATATGATAGCTAAAATATATAGAGACTTATGAAAAAAAATTCAAAATGTATCTTTCTCTCTAAATTTTTTTACAATATGAAAATGATTTAATTTTTGTATTTCTATGATTGTATACATTCATTAACCTCGACCGAAATTATTTTCAATGCGGATTTTCAAAATAATTTTGCATGGAATCATAATGTACATAAGTTGTGTAATATTTTATAAAAATATTTTTTAGAAAAATTTGAATTCAATAATGATCAAATTTTTTGAGAATTAACAATGATTTTCTTAATTGTATCTGAATTCTGATTTGGTACAATATTTATTAAGGTAAAATCAATTGAGAAAAAAAACGAATTTTTCTGGGCGAAAAAAACAATTGATATGAATCAACCTTCTTCTGTGCATACCAGTACAACCTTTGATGGTGATACTGGATACAGACAGAAGCTGATTCAAGGAGATACTCAATTTGTTGATCGTTTATTCCCATTGTTCACCAGTATTTTTCAGAAATGCAAAGTATCCATATGGTTTACATATCTTACAATAGGCTTTTGGGGTTTACAAACTTTGTTTATATCTACATGGCCAATGAGCAGATATTGGCTAGAGTCAAATTCATCTGCCGGATTTTCAAAAATATATCGATATTTGAACCTAATTTTTTTATTTGTTGATACAAAAGATTATGCGAAAGGTTTATATGCCAAAGAGCTAGTCTTTATTATTCTAAATGCAATATCATTTGTATTAGTTCTTACTCAACTTTTATATTACAATGTGCATCGCCGATTCATTAATTTATTGCTTGGCCCAATACAACTATTCGATAGCATTACTCTAATTGGAATAATTCCTTCATCATTTGCATTTGGAAAATTATTCCTCAAAGGGATCACTTCGGAACTAGAAGTATTAGAAGTCTTTGCTATTGTATTTGCTGTTATCAATGTTATTTATGAAATTGTTTATCATATGATGTCACTCAAATTATTTTCAAGGACAGTTGCACTTCAGAACACTCCAGCCATGTCCTTTGACCCAACCATTTCGATTTACATCATGAATACCAGTGCACTTCATGCAATTGTTGCATTTATTATATCATATTTTTCAGATTGGGCTTATTTGATAATCCTAATAGTCCAAATTGTCGCTTATGCATACTACTTCTCATATTCGCTCAATATGGTCTATCTTGTCATTGCTTCCAACTGTGTTGTTAGTGCATTAATGATTGCGTGCATAATTGAAGACATTTACATGATAATTGCATATGCATCACCTAAGATGCCGCATGGAGTTCCCATTCTCTTTGGTATTATTTCATTTAATGTGTTTGTTTGCGTAATGTTTATCGTTTTCAAACTGAAAAGAAAGAAAATTTCAAAACTTTTGAAAGAATACGATCATGAACAGTTTGAAGACATCAATTCTTACTATGATTCATTGGGAATCTTGAAGAATGACAAGAGAACAACAATGTTCTTGAGTGTTGGCTTTGCAGAAGCTTGTCCTTTATTCACAGATTTAAGTTTGTTTGAATATTTACTCTTAAGGGAGCCATCCGACCAAATACTGATAATTATGATACAAATCATTAATTTCTTTCCAGGAGAATCCAGATTATTAAGTAGGATGACAATGATGCTTATGGCTAAAAGGTCATTAACATTTGAACAAAGATTCTTAATTTATCAAGTCTACAAAGTTAAAACATTAAGACAATTTTCGAGTTCATCTGATTCTCAAATTAAATTAAATGAACTTAAAAATATGTCAAGAACAATAGAAACAATAACAAGATCTAGTTTGGATAATACTAACTTGAAATCAAGTTTCTTTGAAGCTCTTTCCATCAAAGCGAAAAGAGCTCACGCAATTTGGAGAGAAGCAATGGTTGATTATCCAAATAATCCAAAATTTTGTAATGAATATTGTAGATATTTGGTTGAAGCTGAATCGAATTTCCCTGAATCCCTTGAAATCAAAAATAGAGAGAATATGATTGAAATGGGTAAAAATTACTCATTTGATTTTTCTTTCGTTTCAATGGTCAGAGTTTTTCCTGTTTATCTCAAGAAAGAAATTCTCGATTTAAAGGGAAATATAAAAGTTAAAGCTTCAAACAATAGAGCTTCATCGTCATCAGAGAATAGTTCAAATAACTCTGGTTCTCAAGGAAGTGGAACTTTTAATTCAAATGATATCGATGATGAAGTTTTGAATTCTCTTGGAAAAGCAACTTTATCACATTATAAACCGAGATTAGCTTTACATCATGCATTAGAAAACAAACTTCCTAAGCCAATAACATGTTTAATTCATGCTTTGTTAATTGTTGTTGTTATTGTTATTTTCTTCTTGTTGTTTTTGTTCTTTTTCAACGAAGTCAAACTCAAAGATCAAACAGGATCAATGGCAATGTTGGATGCAATGTCGAAAGCAAGATTTTACATCGCTATTAATGATATGGAAATTTTACTGAGATATTTCGTTGACAGAGGAAATTATAGTTATTACAAGCCGGCAATTGATAGTTTGAATGATAATTGTGATGTTAATGAAACAATGGTTAATACTTCTAATGATTATTTGCTTCAATCAGCTCCTAACTTGAAAAACGCTATGATTTATTTCGAAGATTTAATTGAAGAAATAACAATTTTGGCAATAACAAAAGGAAATGTTTCTTCTGTTGCTGGATCATTAATGATGGAAGTTCATCCTATTTATACTTGTGCGGATAATGGTTATCCTATTTATATTGTTAATGATAGTATTTCTACAATGATTTCTATATTTTTCGTTGAACAAGCTTATATTTTAACAAAAATCCATGAAACTATTGGAAATCTTTTGTCAACGAAACAATTTTGCGAAATGATTTCTAATTTGAGATATTTTTATTGGCTTGCTCCTCAAGTTTTCACTGATTTCTGCGATTTCCAAATCAAAGAAGGTGATTTACTAGCCAAAAAGTTTAAGATCATTATGATAACTGTTCCTCTTTGTACTGCTTTAGTTTTATTTGTGCCAATCATTGTTTTATATATTGGAATTATTAGATCACTTAAAAAAGTGACAGAAATATTGAATTCATTTGATCCAAAAGTGAGACAAGATGCGAAAGAATTAATGTCTGTTAATATAGATAATGATGATATCAAGTTCAGTGATATTAATCCAAGTTCGAACAGAAGTTCTCTTTATATATTTTAGTTGTTTTAATTGCAATTGCAATGGTTTTATTTACAAGCGGAATGACAATTACTTCTAACAGTGCAAATAGAGATATAATGCATATGAACTATTGGGATCAATATGCAAGTCTTAGATTATGTATGTCTGCAGAAACAGTTAATACAATGGCATTCGGAATGATTCAGCATGCAAATGTAAATGCAACAATGATTTCGACGCCGCAAATGGCTTCAAATGTTGTTATTGAGTTACTTGAAACAGTTCTCGATGCAAACAACAAATTGTTAAGTGGTACAAGTGATTTCCCTGCTTGTACAGATTTCGATTCCGAGTTGGATAAAGAAAATATCGATGATGGAGATGTAAATCATTCAACTGTTGATCCTCACGCGATATACGCAAATGCATCGATAAATACACAGCTTAAAATGATGGCTGATTATTTAAAGACAATCGCAAATGAACTGAATGGAACAGCAAAACTTTCTGTTGCTCCTATTGCGAATACAATTCATATTCTTGGATATCATTTAGGACCAAAGATGTTCAAAGTCACAGCGAGATTGAATGAATTAGCTGAAGTTAAATTCGAAGAAAGTGTGAAAATGTTAAGATATTTTTTAATCCCTAACTTTGTATTACTTATTCTTTATGTTTTAGTTGTTGTTTCTTATTATAGTATTAGAAAAGATACTTACAGAGCGAGTTTATTCATCTTGAAGAGAATAAGTCCTCTGCAATTAATTAATAACAAATTGTTCATCAAACATTTCCTGATTCACGAGCACGAATCGAAAGAAGAGAGTAAAACAGTGTCAGGAAACATTATCCATTCTTCTCCTGATTGTATCTTGTGTACAAATATCCATGGTGTTGTTGAAACTGTTAATTCAGCAACAGCATCGAATCTTGGTTATACACCTGAGCAATTATTAGGTCAACCTGTTACTTCTTTCTTGATACAAACAGATGAAGATAAAATTGTCCAACAACTGGATATGATGAGGAATGGACAGAGCTCATTAATTTATGAAGATAATGTCACAGCAATCACTGATTCAGCACAGTTTTTGCCTTGCCATATAACAGTGATTGGAATGAAATCTCAACAGAATTCGAACTTGAATTCTTTCGTTTTTATTTTAAGAAACCAATCACAATTAGTTCAACAACAAAAACAAGCAGAAGAAGCAAAAGCACATCTGAAAAGCTTCTTTATCAGATATTGCCAAGAGATATTGTGTTGCAAATAAACAGAGGTGAAAAAGACATTTCTTTCATGGTTCCTTCCAGCACAATTATATTCATAGATATCTGCAAATTCTCGGAATATTCAAGCTCTTTGTCACCACAAGAAATCATGGGAAATTTGTCTGTTTACTTTGCAACAATTGACAACATTTTGGCAAAATTTAATTACTTGACAAAAATCAAGTTAATTGGTGATATTTATATGGCAGCTGCTGGTTTGTTTAATCCTGAAATTGCACCTGAAAAACATGCAGAACAAGTCATCCAATTCGGTCTTGAAGTTATCAACGAATTGGAAGAAATAAACTTGGCATTAAATGCAAGTTTAAGCATAAGAATTGGTGTAAATACAGGAGGTCCTATCATTGCAGGTGTTTTAGGTAAAGATAAACCTGTATTCGATATCATTGGTGATGCAATTAATGTTGCAGCAAGATTACAGACAACAGATGATCCCAATCAAATTCAGATCAGCCAAGCAACTTATGACGTAATAAGTCACTTGAATTTCCACGTCAGACAGAGAGGTGAAGTTTTCTTGAAGGGTAAAGGAAAACAAATGACTTATTTGGTTGGTCCTCTTACAGCAATCGCTTCAACTATTTCTGGATTCCAATTAGTAGAAGTTGATTCTCATGATGATCATCATTAATTTTTTTAGAATTTTATTTTACTTGTGTTTATTTATATATAGATTAAAATTTTTCTCTTTCTCTCCTTTAAACTATTTGTTTATTTTGCATATTTAGTGATTAGATCATAACACAATTGATGTTGAAAGAAAAATTGTAATATAAAAATTTATGTTTCAAATAATACTAGTTAATATGTGGATAATTAAACGAAATTCAATCTCAGACATATGGCAATATTGAACGTAATTCAATTTTTGAGGCTGTTCATTGAAAATCTGTCAAATATTAATTCATTTTTTCAGGTTAAATACAAATAAGATGAAAAATGAAACATGAACAATTTGGTAATTTTAACAGTTCATTTATTCACAAAAACTATTTAAAAAATTGAATTTAATTTACTATGATAATCGGACACTAATCCATATGTATTTAACGTTACAAACATTAATTCTTGTAAGAATGACTCATATATAATAACATAGACAAATCACAGCATGATCTTAATATCTCTTCCATATCTAATTAATATATTGAGTATTTTCAAATTAAAAAAAAGTCCCAATTGAATTTAAAATGATCGTAATTTTCAACTTTTTATTGTAGTATTAATATTAAACAATAAATAAAAAAAAGATTTAGAAATAAATGCTCATGTTTGCATGACTGATATTCCAAACCTTTATTACGGATCGAAATATTATATGGTTTGTAATGAATAATTGATTTATCTTTATTTGTTTCTAGGAAAAGACCATATTCATCGATAGTTACTGCAGATTCAAAATTTTGTATTTCGATATATTGAATTGATGTCATTCTAATAAATTGCCATCGTTGAATTATTTTAACTGAACATGGAATAATTATATGTTGAAGAGTATTTGATATAGAAAAACATCTGGGAGCTAATTCTATTACAGAATTTGGAACATTAAATTGAACCATGCCGTTCCCACCAAAAATTAAATAAATAATTTTCATATCTTTGGAATATAATGCCCCATCATGAACAACAAAATAGTTATTTTCTGGATGAACAGAGATCATTTTTATTGGTAATCCTTCATCAAATGGATTGTTAATTAATTCTTTAAGATTTTTTGGGAAAGAAAAATATTCAACTTGGGTTCCCTTCAAAAGAAGATCTTCAAGGCGTGTTAAATTGTCATCAAATGTTAGAATTCGAAGATTTTTATAATTTACTAAACAACCTGATTCTGTCGAAGTGAAACCTTCAAAAGAAAGTTTTACAGCTTCATTATGTTCAGATAGCTTACCAAGAACCCCAGTTCCTACTACTCTAAATGAATTTAGTTCTTTATCAATTGGATAAAATGTCATTTAGGATTTTAAACAAAAATTGAAGACCAAACATATAACAAGTTCTATAAAAAATAATTTTTTAGTTGAAAGAGTTCAGGATCCGCTTTTTAGCTCTTCAATTTTTTTTACCTTGGTCCTATAACGATAATGTAAACATCACAAAAATAACCTAATTAGAGCTAGAAAGTATGGATCCCCCTGATTTTAGGTATTCAATATAATAGCCTTAAATGTGCTTTTCTGAGAGTGGTCTATCGTCTATAGGGCACCCTTAAATGTAAATCAAAAGTTATTAATTTTTATTGAAAAAATAATTTCTTTTCATGCAAACCGATTTTTGACAATTGTTGATTTGTCTATGACTCAAATAACCTCAATTCCAACTACCTGTTTCTGTGGTTGCCAATTATTAAAAACTAAAATTGCCTGGAAATCTTACCGAAATCAAGAAACAATCATTATATATTTTAGATTCTTTGAATTTTCTTGTTATTCCTTCAAAAGTTAATGTTATTGAAACTAATGCTTTTGTCGAATTATAGAATCTGAAAATTATTGCAAATTTTGGAGAAATTTCTTTGAAATGATACTTTATTTGCGAGATGTTAAAGCGTTAAGTATATTAAGGCTGCATATTTATATCCATCAGATAGATTTAGTAGAATAGCTGTCACAAAAGATGCTTATTATTTGTCCATCTATTAACCATGCATTATACATGAATTTTATTTCACTTCATATATGTTTTGTGTTTTTATTTTAATGTAAAATGTTAAATTTATTTAATTTAATGTTAAACAGACCACGATTAGTAAAGCATTTTTAAGATTAGTTTGCATATCATGGTCGGGCACCATTTATATTCCTCCGGTACATTAAATGTTAATATCCTACAGCATATAATCTTCCTCCATTATAAATTTTCTGCCACATTAGCTTCTCTAATTATTTTGTGAGTTCAAGATAACCTTCATTGAATGAACCACTTCCACAGGAAGAGTCAAAGATATATCTTCCATGTAAACCTCATACGATCAATTTTTATTTCCCAGGTTTAAGGGTGCACTTACGCCCCTATGACACGGGCTTCAATTGATGTTTAAGGTTGATTTTGAATGACGCTTCAGGCTAGTTGTCAAAAATTTGAATTAAAGTCAGATGGGTGTAAGGATCACATAATTTCATCCAAAAATTATAGGATAATGTAGTATAAGTGTGTGTTTTATGGTTATCGCAAGGAATTCAAGGGAAAAGTTTACTCTTTAATTTTACTTTGGCATGTTATTCTTCTTGTTTGACTAAAAATATTGTTTTATAAGCTAAACGACAATTCTAAAGGAGATATTCGTGTATCTGTTAATGAATCACAAGGAGTATATATTTTCGATTATCCTTGTAATTCAAATTACGATTGCACAGATTACATCATTAAATTATCTCCAGGTGAGTACAAATTTGAACTTTATGGTGCTTCAGGAGGTTCCAGTAAAAACTTAGTTTCATCATATATTAATGAAAGTAACGAGTGTATCAATCAAGATATTGTAACATTATACAATGGAAATACAGAATGTAAAAAAGTAGGAAATCGAGGTGGTGCAGGTGGGTACATTTTAGGGATAATCTTCATCACTCGAGAAATCGTAACATATGCAACAATTGGCGGCAAGGGTATATATGATTCCCCAAACAGAGGTGGATATGGTGGTGGTGGAAACTCTATCAGCAATGCTGGCTCTGGAGGAGGTCAAACATCAGTAAAATTTATAAATAACGATCTTTGGCATAGGGTAATTGTTAGTGGTTCAGGAGATGGGGCAGATGATTATTATGGCACGATTAATGAAGTTAATGACGGCTCAGGAGGTTCAGGAGGAGGTATTATTGGACAAGGTTTTTGGTCAGATGGTTCTTTAATATTTGATAAAGTTTCAAATTCCACATATGGATTTAGTTTTGGTTTTGGCGAGTCAGGAAGTAATAATGGTTCTGCTAATCCAGATGGATATTTAAGTAGAAGTATTTATGAAATATCAGGTGCAGGTAGTGGATGGTTTGGAGGATTTTCCAAGCATAATTCCAACAGTGGTTCAGGAGGTGGAAGCTCTTGGGCATTATCTAAAGAAGCAATTATTCCAGAAGGAAATATTGCTGCTTATGACTCATCCTATCAACTTATTGACAATAGAACTTATGCTTTTGCTAAGAAAAATCAATTTCTTTTTCATGATGTTATTACCATTCCAGGTATTTGGCAAGGACATGGAAGACTTGTCATTACAATATTGAATTCTTTGCATTGTCCTAGTCATAATTGTCACTGTTCAACATTTTCATATTCTTATCTTTTCGTTTTTATATTGATTTAATTAAAAAGTAAATTATAAGAATGTTTTTGATCGTTCACTTCCTTTGTTTTGTTGAACTTAAACTGAGAAAAATAGAAATTATTACAAAATGGTAGATATTGTCTATATTGAGGGAATAATTTGGATTCATAAAACAACATGATTTTAACACTCTTTGATTGTGGAAATTCAACAGATAAAGGAGTATCAGTTTATGAAATTAATCTCGGAAATATCAATTTTTCATGAAATAATATCACAAATATCAGTCAAATTGATATTCCAGACAGCGCGAGAGCTTTAAGTACTCAATGTTTTAAAGATTGTTCAAATCTTAAAATGGTTAATATTCGTTCTACGAGAAATCTCGAACGAATTGGTGAAAATGTTTTTGAAGGATTCTATCAGTTCAGTAATGTTAGTTCATTTGATTCTATTAATTTTATGAGTGAAAGTGGTGCAATCTACAGTCATGACAAACTTCGAATGTATGTTTATCCACCATCATCAAAAAGAATATATTTCACTCTTCTTGAAGGTGTTGAACATATTGAAAGAGGTGTATTTCTTGGATGTATTTATGTTGAAGTTATCACAATTCCAGATGGAAGCATCAAATCTATTGGCGAGAATGCATTCCGAGGATGTTTCAATCTTCAACAGATCACACTTCCATCATCTATCAAATCTATTGGTCTTGGTGCATTCACAAACTGTCCTATTCTTCAATGTGGTGGCATCATTCAAAACTCAACAAAATCATTCATTGATATAATAAAAATCTCTGGTCTTGATCTCAAATCTCAACTTTATTGTTCTCGTTTCTCTTGCAAGCGCAATTCAATATATTCACCTGATATTCCTATTTCTTATTATATTGTTTTTATTCTAATGTAAATAAAATATTTCTTCTCTAAGTTTATATTCTTAAGTCCAATAAATAATAATCAAGTAATTCAAGGGTATTTTAGAGATATCCGATAAAATGCAGTTGACAACAAAATGGATAATGATGTAATCAAATTAAGGTGTTTCCTATGTCGTGATTCTCTTCTCAATTGTTTTCAGAAAAATATTTATGATTTAAGGATACCCTTACATTGCGTAGTTAGAAAGAGAATATGATATTGTCATGATTGCTAAAGTTTTAGGCTCCAGAAATGAATATACATCAAACTGAAACAATTGATAAATTGAATGAACTTTTGAGAGGTTCTCAAATAAAAAAATTATCTAATTTTTTACAATATTACTATTATTTTATCCACATATGTATATATAGTAATTTGAGAAAACTTTTAGGAAAAAATAAGTTTAATAAAAATCTGAATTTTACTTGTTGTGGGATTGTTATTAATTGACACTCCAGACGTATTACTAATAGTTATGCGTATGCAATTAAAGTATTTCTGATGGACAAAATGTGAGATTTATATCAGATAATTCATTTCTACTATTAAGTTATTCATTTATGAGTTTGCACTTATTCGCACTAAATAAATAACTATTAAAAATTGTTTTAATTAATTGACACCATATAATAGAGTGAAATTTGTTTGATCAAACAACAATAGATGATAGATATAAAGCCAAGAAACTTGCTATTAATATGTTCTACTTGCTATTTCAATGTAAGTATGATATTTTCTAAATGTTTCGTTCAGATAACTTAGATATATTAGTCAAAATTTGAAATTTTAATAGCACATATATTAAAAATAATTATTATTCATAAAAGATTAATGAAATAGTAAAAAAAATCAATCAAATTATAAAAATACAACATATGGTTTTTTATGGTTGTCTCATAATAGCATTTCATGAAAAAAATATAATACTATTTATTTTTGCATAGTTCAATTTTTTTAAATAATGCAAGATATCCCGCCATTAGTTTTCATGAAATAATCCAAAAATCAACATACACTTGAGAACATAGCAGCTCTACATGTTTTCGCTATTTATTTTCCAATAATATGAGGGGTTCACGGGATAAAGCTTCACTAAGCATAATTGATTACAATATCATCATATATATACCGAACATATAACAAATGGGATATTTGTATACTAAAATAAAAAAGGAGCAAATTATATAATTTTTGTCATGCTACTTATAGGTTCAAAAATCTTATAATATAAAAATATTTTCAAATACAAAGAAAATATGTGTTTATTTCAAATTTGAAAATTAGATATCTTGTGGGGTCCACTTTCCTCCTCTGTAATCACCTGTAGGGTTATCCTTAGGAAATCTTTTTGCATTTCTTGCCTTGTTGATCTCTTTTCTTGTTTCTGGTGTAGCTTTCTTTTGATTTCTGGATTTATTTTTCTCATATTCAAGTTTTTGGAGTTCGCGGATTGAAGGAGATATTTGGTAATTATTGACACGATTGTATATTTCTTGTTTGCATTTCTCTCCTTCGTTTTTTTGTAAAATTGTAACAGCCGTACGCATTTCAAACGATTTTGCGTTGTTTCCTTTGGGACACTGAGTAAGCATTGAGTGATGTATCGATTCATTTTGTTGTGTTTGAGCATTAGGATCAATTTCTGGAATCAACTTTGCGGCATCATCTGTAAAACGTTGAAATTGCTTCGCTAAATCAGGTTTTGTAAGTGGCTGAAACACAGGATATTCTTTGTCTTTTTCGTGAAGGCAATTTTCATGCCTTCCGATAAAATGATTTAATGTATTCTTCCATAGGAAAATTTTTTTCGTTGTTTCAATTGGAAGCATGATAATAAAAGTGAACCACTTAATAACTTTCGAATATATCTGATGAAATACTTTTTCTTGGTGTTTTAATGGTCTTCCACGTTTCTTCGGCTCTTCTGCTTTAGATTTGATTGGGAATGCTGGCTGTGATTCACTTTCTTTCTGTTGATTAACAGTTTCTTTTCCTGCTGCTTCTTTATATCCACCATTTTCAAGCTTTTCGAAAGCTCTGCCAACTGCACGTACACAATGACGAGGATCAAGTGTAATTTTAGCATTCGGAGCATATTGCTGGATGATGGCTTTCGTTTTATTGTCATTGTCATGAACCACTGTGGAAACATTTGTAAAGTCAAAATTTGACATCATCCTCTTTGTACATTCTGTTTCCATCATGTTGGATGGGCCTTCAAAGTCTCCTCCAGAGCTCTTTTTTATAACAGTTGTTTCACCAACAACTTTTCCACGGTTGTCCATCATTAAACTTTGGCACGCTGTAGCATTTCTGCCAACATTATAATGCGAATCAGTGCTTAAAAATGTATCTTTCTTCATTGTTTGTTGAGCATTTTTAATAGATTGCTCTTTATATTCTAGTATTACCTTACCTATTTCTTTTTGATGACGGTAAAACTCTTTTTCACTCGGCACTTTAATATTGTTATCTTGAAATAAATTCCTTGCTCGAGTATAAGAGTCACCATTAACAATTACAGAAGCAGTCCAGTGTTTTGGATCGACTTCCTTTGGCGCATTCTTTTCTTGGGAGTTTTTTCTTGCTTCAATTGATTTTTCGTTAGCTTCACGACTTTGTTGTTTGCGTCTGCTTGGTGGAGGCATATTACGTAAATGGTCGGCAAAAAATGTAATAAACGTAGTGAATAATTAAAAAGATTGCTTTATATAACAAATATAATCATTTTTTCCTTAGAAATCCCATTATTTGCATAACAATATTTAAAAATATTTTTTTGATATAGTTTACAGTCACATCAATATGAACTATATTAAACTATCAGAAACTTATGTATGTTATTAGTAAAGTTGAAATTTTTATCATATTTACACATTAAATTTAATTTTCATGCATATTTAAGTTTTTTTCAACACAATCTTGTATTGTTAGTACCGACAATATGAAAGAAAGTTATACTGTATTTAATTTTAGCAATAAACAAAAAAATCTAAATTATATCTTTAGATACTAGGATTGATTTAATGACTAAGAACGTTTTTATCAATAATACCATGATTCATAACATATAGACATAACCTAAATATACCAAAGCATTTCTACTTGGAACTAGCGCATCGCCAAAATAATGGGTCAATATTCATTTGACGTAATGCTGATCGAGAGAAGTCTTTATATATAAGCCTTATCACAATGCCACGAATGCACCCAGCTGCAGGCGTGTCTTGTTTAACATTCATTCCTATATATGATGGAACATTAATCAATAATCATGGAAGTATCACTTTTCAAATAACATCATTGTTAAATGAAAGAAAATTGTATGCAAAATTACATTTTGGTAATGGTGAGACGCAATATGTTGAAGTATATATCATTATTATTTAATATACAAACAAACTCTAGTACAAAATTGTATTAATTCAACTTTCATGTCTAATATAGGGTGTCCAAAGGTGCGTTTAGCACAGCGCTCTATATGAGACTATTAAAGGAGATATATGCTGATTATAAATATATAATAAAAAATATGAATATATGTATATGATGAGTATGTTGTATTTTGGCGCCATGCCGGGATATAAAATGAATTTTGAGACAAGAGGCGGTTTCGTGGGAAATTTTGGCGGGATTTTTTTCATTTTTTTAATGAATCATAAAGAAAACATCCTCGCTCTTGCAAAAAAATGCAAAGACTGTAAAAAAATCTACGAGACATTGGTAAAATGCTTCGGTATGGATGCTCCTAGCTATTCCACTGTAACGTATCATGTTAGGATGTATCACTTCATGAACAAAAAGGCGCCCATCATAAAAATTGACAAAAAATCGCCGGATCAAAGAAAAATCAAAGCAATTCTTCAAGCGCTAGATGAAGACCCAAGAGCATCACTCAGAAGGATAGAGGAGATGACAAAGATACCACGTACAACAGTCAGTTATTATCTGCACAATTATTTGAACTACAAACTAGCGTATACACGTTGGGTTCCGCACAACCTTAATTCAGTTCAAAAAAAATCTAGAGTCCAATCTTCGAAAGAGCTCCTCTCTATATTGGGTGGGTATCAATCCAAGAAGTTTCGCTTTTAGTAACAGGGGACGAGTCTTGGTTTCAATATGCAGCAGAAGCCAAAATCATGTGGATCCCGAAGGATGAAAATCCGCAAACATTCCCGAAGAAAAAAATTGACACACCAATGATGATGTTGGGTTTTTTGGCGGGCGTGAATGGCATCATCGCAATTGATATTCTTCAAAAACCTAATACGATGAATGCTCAGTATCTAATGACAATGTTCTTACTCACAATTATCAATTCTGATGAGTTTGAGAAATCCAAACAACAAAAACAAAAGTTTGCAATTCATTTTGATAATTCAAGAGTTCACAAAAGTCATAAGGTAATGAATTACTTGGTGGAAAACAATGTCAAAGTTGTTCCAAACCCAATTTATTCACCTGATATTGCACCCTCTGACTTTTATTTATTCGGCACGCTAAAAAAGAGAGCTGAAGGACGCGAATTCGCGAGTCCAGATGATCTTGAAAATTTTGTAAGAGAGCAATTTGAGCAATTTTCTCATGATGATTTAAAGCGTGTCTTTCAAGCCTGGATCGATCGCTGCGAACGCGTGATTGAATCCAATGGTGATTATATTTAAATAAACTTTATATATATGTAACTTGTTTATTTCTATTCGCAGTATTCAGGTTTGTGCTAAACACACCTTTGGACACCCTATATAAAAACTTTTTAAAAAAAAAGAGATATAATCGTGTATAATATGAGAAAAATGAATATCAATACAAAATAAAATATCAATTAGCTATTGCTGATGACATATCATGAATATTGATCATTTGATTTGATTAATTTTGATAAATATTAGGCTTTTTGCTAGTTACATATTATAATAAGGCTTTTAAATGGATATTTATTGATATGAGCTTATTTCAAAATGACAGTCTTTGATTTATCCACTAATAAGATTTGATGTCACAAAAATCTAGATTTTGGGGCATAAAAACCTAACACCAAATCATAACTTCTGTGCATATACTAAATTGAGTACAGAAATATGTTAATTTTCAGTATTTTTAGAAGAATTCTTATTATCCTTCAAAAAGTCAGTATTTCTGCTGTAATTTTCTACAACATTGTAGTTATTGCACTTTGTCTATGGATTTGTATATATGTTATATATAAATTATATATCTAAACTGCCCATAAGTGCAATTTTTATATAAATTGTTTATTTCTTTAACAATTTCATATGAAATATGCTTTTTTAAGCGTATCAAAGCTGTGTTCTTAATGTGCATGGATATATCAAGAAAAATGTCGAAGTAGTAGGATAGGACGGGGTGTGTGACTTTTTTTGTTACGTCTATATATAGATGAAGGTATATTTTAATGCATCTTCCATACATAGATGATATAAAATTTTTTCTTACGTTTTTTAAAAGTCATGAATTTGTAAGAAAGTGCGACATTATTAAATAAATTAGTAATAAATATTATATACTAAACGCATTTAAAAAATTAACACATTAATTTTAAAATAATTTATTTTTTTCTTTTATAAAAGAAGCTATATATAGATGATGTCAGATATTCCGCGATTAATTAAACATTGTTTAAATCATGAATGGGTTAAACTTCAATTTAAAAATGAAGATTGTGAATTATTAAATGAATATGAAAGCCAAAATAAGCTAATGAGGTATAAATATAATGATAAATAATATTTAATTTCATGGAATCAATGGAGTCATAATCAAAGACCTCATAAACGAGTAAAAGATTCACTACCATAATGAAATAAAAAATAAAAAAATAAACTTTAAAAATTCATGTCTTACATTTTTGAATAATTTATTTTTATTTTGTATGAAATGAGCGTCAAGACTAACGACGTTAAAAAATTGGGATTCACAAATGAGGAAATAAAGGATATATTAGAGGAGGCGGGTTATGAGGTTGATAAATATTATTTAAGAAATTGTCAAAAATTCGCGGAGTTTTTAAATGAGTTTGATTATGATGGAAAAATGAATAAAGATGATGTTATAAATTTCTTATATCCCACATCTGAAGAAGAAAAACCTAAAGAACCTGATGTTTTCCCTGAATATTATGAAGAACGGATTAAAGATGATGATGAATACGATGAAATTGAAAGACTGTAAAAAATAAGAGATGAAATAGATGAAAAAATTAAGGAATTAAGAGAAGTTGAAAAATATAATGAAAATGAAGTAGAGGGTTTAATGAATATCCCAGCTTCAGAATCAGCAGTTCAGAAATCTCATGAAGAAAGATATAAAAATTATGTCTCAGAATCAACACAAAATTTATTAGATGGCGAAATAGACGAAACACTTTCAGAAGAAGGTACTAAATTTATTCGTAAACATAAGTTACAATTTATTGATAATGAAGAATACCCCTGTATCTTACTTTCACCCCCTCTCGATTCCGAAAAATTCAAAAAAGCTCTTAAAAACGTGACTTATGCAACTAATACGATTAAGAAAGAAGATCATGATATTTACACAAATTATTATTTAAATAAATGCACAGGTGTTGATAAAGTTTTTGATTTATTAGATAAAATATCAAAAGAAACCATTGGAACCTATAAAATTTTGTGTGATTGTGGTTTCATTATTGAAGATACCAATAATGTTTCATATGAAAGAACAGCACGAAGGAAGACGAAGTTGAAAGGTCTATACCATTCGTTATTAAGAATATAAAAGATATGAAAACTTATAAACATTATATTTATTCATTTATTTCAGAAAAAATGGAAGCAACCCATAAAACATCTTCTCATCATTTTATAGCTATTCATACATTCCTTTTCAAAGTTGTGAAATTAAATAAGACAGGAATTAGATTTAATGTATCAGGGTACGCATTCTTGAGTAAATTAAAATGTATTCGTCACGTCGCAGATGATAAAAATTTATGTGTTCGTAATTCATTTTATGGGCTTTAAAAAATAAACTTTATTTTTATTTATTTTTTTATTCTTACATAAATGAACAAAAACGGAACCGCTAAAATGAATGATAATCAAATTAGAGCAGAAGGTAGAAGGTTATTTAAACGCTTCTATAACATTCCTGATGGCGTTAATCCTAAAACTCGTAGAAGCTATTTAAATGAAGCAATAGATGCATATGAAGGGTTTGACATTTCATCAGAAAGTGAGAGATTAGCGAGAATGTTAAATGTTAATATTGATTTCTATTATTGTGATCCTCAACCAGAAGACGTGGACATAAATAAGGTAGACTTTCCATTAGTGGAATCAATAATGATAGATCCAGAATTTGAAACAGTAAATATTTTATTAACACAGAGTCCATGTGGAAAACTTCACGCTGACAGAATAACAGACGTTGAAGCACTCACCGGCTATAGAGTTTGTCCATATTGTAAAGAAGAAGTTTATTCTATCCGTGATGATCCAGAAAGGAAAAACCAAAGAAGATTTTTAAAGCATTGTGAGAAATGTAAAGAAAATAATGGAAGATTAATTCAAGACGTTCAATTGCAAAAGACACAGCAACCATATGCACCACATATTACGAAACAGAAGATATATCAGTGGTTATTAGCTCACAATTTGCAGGAATATTATCAACCGACAAGATATTATATTACTTTTGACTTTGAAACATTAGAGACTAAAGAAGAATTACAACTTTCTGAGTGTGCAACTTTGAATGCTTACTTAAAACCATTCATGGTATCATCAACGGTTAAATTAAATGATAAAACGTATACGAGGAATTTTTGCTTAACTTCGAGTGATTCTTTTATTTCTGATTGGATTGAGTTTTTATTTTCAACCTGTTCATTAGTTGCTAAATCAAATATTGAACAATATGAAGAATTATTGAAGTCGCAAACGGACCAAACGGCGGGGACTTTGTCTCATACATTAAATGAAAAACAGAAGGAAGCATTTAAAGAACTTCTAGATGAGGAATTCAATAAAGTGAATATCATAGGTTTTAATTCGGGAAAGTTTGATTTAAATTTAATTCTTCGTGATTTAAACACTGCAAAATGGAAAATAAAATCAATGCTGGGTTCATCTTCACAATTTAAGCAAATCATTGTAAAGAAAACAAACGTTCCATATGAATTGAGATTTATTGACATCAGAAATTATATAGCGGGTGGGACATTAGACCAATTCACTCAAGATTTCGGAAACAATAAATCACGTGTTAAATCCTTTTTCCCTTATCAATTCATCACATGGGAAAATTACGAAGAAGAATTATATAAAGTGGAACCATTCACGAAAGATTCATTTTATTCAGCATTAACTCAAGAAACTATATCAGATAGTGATTATCAAATATATCTCAATGATGCTAAAAACTTTAAGAATAGATTAGAATATTTTATTCATTATTGCAATAAAGATGTTGAAATTATGATTGACCCAATTGATAAAATTATTGAAGAAACATTTGTTTATAAAATTGACATGCTTCATAATCTTCTTTATCATCGAATGCTTCAATGATTCGTTACGCTTTAGCATATAAAGACTTTAATCCTAATGAAAAATATCCTGAGGAAGAGATAGAATCAAGTTTTGAATTAACGAAAAAGTATTGGAAATATAAAATTGAATCATATAAGAAACAAGATGAAAAAGCAGAAAGAGATACTAAAAATAATGTTTCAATGGATGATTTTCAATACTATCACGATTTAATCCTTTCATCTAAATGCAAAATGTGTGGTAAAGCGTTTACATATGCAAATAAACCAACATTGGATAGAATCGATAATGAAAAACCACATACCAAAGAAAATTGTCAGTTAATGTGTTGTTATTGCAATGTCGTAAAATCAAATAAAGATGAAGATGTTCAACGTTTAAGAATCAATTTAAGAAATTATGCATTAAAAAATAATTTACCAATGACTTTAGATTCAGTTTGAAGCTTATCACATTCTCCGTAATGGAATTACTGGTGGTTTATCAAATGTTCAACATAGAGTAAATCTTAAAGGAATCACGCACATTAATAAACTTTCATATAATCCAGAAACTAAAACTGTATCAAATGAGGACACCACCAACATTATGACTCATTTCGTTGGAGTTGACTTTAATTCATTATATCCTTCATCATTTTCATCTAATCCTCATGATTTCATTCAATATACTGACCATAAATGTGTATGCCGGGAAGATTGAATGGTGTTATCATTTGTGATACAGCAACAAAGAAAGCAAAAGCATTGGGAATAATTAAGAAGAAAAATACTTTATTCGTTGCTGAAGTAAAGGGTCACATTGATGAAAAATACATTAATGATTACATAAACTTTTTACCGATAATAAGAAACTTAGATATTATCACAGATGAAAAACAATTGGCAGTTTTATGTATAATTACATGAAATCAAACAATCTACCAGTTGACCAGAAACAGAGGAAATTAACTCAGTTAGCATCAACATACAACCAATATCAACCATTTTCTTCTTATTATCTTTGGTATCTAATAGACAGATTTCATTTTATCATTGATGATATTCAATCAATTTTAACATTTACGAAAAACACCTGTTTTAATGAATTTGCGAACAAATTTATGAACGAAAGATAAAAGGCTGAATTAGAAGGAAATAAAGGAAAAAGTTTATTTTGCAAGATTTCACTTAATGGATCATATGGTTACGATGCAATGAATACACAAAATTACGCAAAGACTAAAATAATGAATGCACAGAAGGCACGCGTTGCATGTATGTCAAATAAGTTTAAAAACATAAGAGAAATAGGTGAAGATACATATCAAGTGATGCTTAAAGATAGATTTTATAGATGTGATACATGTTTACAAGAGGCATTCTTCACTTTAGATAACGCAAAATACTGGTATTTGGTTTTCATTTATGATTTTATGTATAAATGCATGGATGTTAATCGTTTTCATTTCATTGAAGGTGATACTGATTCATCTTATTGGGCAATCGCTGGCGACTCAAATCTTCCTAACACTCAAGCATTTCAAGCAATTGTTACCGATAAACAATTTTATGATAAAAACATTTTCAAATTCGCACATTTGATTTCTTCTGTTTTGATGAGAAATTTAAACCTAAATTAAAGAATAAAAGCTGAAGAAAAAGCACATGAGAAAAAATTATTGGGTTTAGCAATTGAGAAACAAGGTGATAACATGGTTGCTTTATGTCCTAAGTGTTATACATCATTCAACGGTTCAATTGATGGAAGTGATTTTAAAAAGATTGCACAAAAAATGAAAGGTGTTAGTTTACGACAAAATAAGCAATTAACACCTAAAAATATTTGGATATAATAAATGATAAAGTGATATTTGATGGTCAGAATATTAATTTACAACTTAAAAATGGGTCAATGACTCGCTTAACAATCGGTAAGACTGCATTAACAGGAGCACACACTAAGGCTGTATGTTGTGAAAATGGATGTTGTATGCCATTTATTTAATACAATTTAAAATTTTATTCTTAATGAAATGCCACAGAAGAGACAAAAGGAACCGTTAATGATGGTTTTGATACTATGATTCAAAGAGGTGGGCACCCTTAAACATTTATTTTATTTTTATATAAATGGATAACGTAGATTTAAAAATTTTAATTGATGATTTAGTATTTAATCAAAATTTTCTTGATTATTATGATTTAAAAGCATATCTCCAAAAATATGATAACAATATAACGGGTGATGATATGGAATATTGTTATCCATATTATAAAAATGAAATTTTGAAATATCATGATAGAATAATTTCTAAAATTAAAGACAAAATTAAAAAATAATGAATATTCAAAGGGAAAAACTAAATCACAACTTAAACAGTTGAAAGATTTCAAAAATAAAGTATTAACAGAAGAAGATATTGATGAATTATATAAATTATATAATCCTGAGCCGCAAAAGCCAAAGGAACAAAAACAAAAGGTGCAAACACCCAGGTCCTTCAGACCATAAATGAAGCACAAGCTTTAATTATGATTCATTAGTTAAACCATATTCAGCCCGAGTTTTAAATGAAGATCAACTTTTGGAATTCATCCTTCAACATAAACTCGAAGCGGGAAAGTATATCAAACCTTTATATACAGCATATTTAAAACAAATGAATAGAATACATCCAGAATTAATGAAGGGGGGAATGAATTCCAAAACTTCATCATCCAAAATCAAGCAGATAAAATTAAACCACTTGCAACACCAAAACCTCCAACGACAGTACCGCCTCCTCCTTCAGTTAATCCTTCATCATTCACTTTATTATATCCATTTCAAACATTAAAGAAGCAAAAAGATTTTAAAAAGGATTTCAAGATATTAAATAAACCAATTGACCCGAAAAATTCAACCGTTAAAGGAAAAATTTAGTCGCCCTTCATTTTGCACCATATCCATATTCATACGAAATCGATCATCTGGAATATTCAAAAGGAAAAGTTACTTATTTATTTGCCATTAACATTAACACTAGATATTTATATTGCATTCCAGTGAAAGGGAAAACAGAACAGGAAACAAGAAGAGCTATACATACTTACTAGATCATGAAAGAGTAGATAATATCAGGGGTGATGGCGATAAAGGATTTCAGGCAACTATGACTCATTATTTCCACAAATTAATTTTTTCTTTTCATCCTCTCCATATACGTTTCATAATAAAATAGTTGATGCGGTAATGAGAACTCTTAGAGATGCGTTAGGGGTTAACGGTCAGATATACTGGGATGGAATCATGACTCCATCATACAGCAGTTAGTATATTATTATAATAATAATGGCATAGAACTATAAACATGAAACCAGTGGAAATGAAAAATGATAGTTTCCAAAAGAATGGGAATATATTAGAAAGCAAATGGAAAGGTTGAATGATGTTAACATGAACAAATTAATTCGGGGCTCATGAATTTTAAACAAGGGGATAAAGTTTTGATTCATCTCGATTATGGAAAAACTGATAAATCAATGACAAAAAGAAGACGAAGATTTGACACAATAGCTGAATTTGTTAGATATATTAACGGCAATGCATTAGTTGAAGTTGACAATAAATTAATAGAAATTCCGATTTATTTTATTACTCCATTATATTTAAATAATATTTAATTTTTTTATTTCGTAAGAATGAGTGACAACGAAGCAGCAGAGTCCAGACGATGAATATAAAAAGAAACTAAACGAATTAAATCAAAAATATGCTATTACAAAAAGAAGCCGCAATGTGGTGGGGTTGATGCCCATAAACTAAAGTAATTGAAACGTGAAGAAATAATGAAAATTAGAAATTACCGTTCAATCCTTAAACTGAGTGAAGCAAAATAAAAGAATTTAATAGAATAAATAAATTGATTGGAAGAGATGAATTTAATAAAGATGAATTTTTAAACTCAATCCAAATTTAATTTTTATTCCTCTTCGACAACGTCTCTCTTTCCATATTACTGCTAACCGCATTTTCTCAATTTTAGTGGTTTGTTATTTTTACATGTTTTTGCATCATTTTTATCATTTCCTCCTTGTTATGATTCGTGGTAAATTTTGAGCTTGTGGGGTATCAATATGATAAAAATAAAAATTTGTTATCAAGTTATTTTATCGTTAATGTTTTCAGGTTATTCAATAATTAATTATTTTGAAGAACTGAAGGTGCTAC